CTCCCTGTACTTCTTGCATCTCTGAGAGTCGTAGTGGTAAACAAAATAATAGTTTTCACGAATACCTCTATCCCAATCGTATCTGCCGCCGAGCAGCTGTGCTTGGTTTGTTGTGCTGTGTCGAATATGCCAGTGAAATTATAGAGGGTATAGAAAAAAATATATTATAGTTCATTATGTTTTTCTTCTGTGCTCGTATCTATGAAGGACGGTTATAACTATCCATGCCATAAACCGTCAGCTTGTTTCCCACAATTACAACGCAAAAGAAGTCTCTTAAAACATTGCTTCAATTGCATGACAATCTAACAACCGCGCCTCTGATGTGTAATTAGGTGGGCATATCCTATATAGGTATTAAAAAATGCGTCAGAAGCTTAGTAAATTGATAAATTAATTTGATATCATCTAATTATTTGATAGTCAGTATAAGATATCGGTCCTATTCTGCATAAAAATGGGTAGTTACTGATAGAAAACCACAAGCACCAAACCCTTATCAAAAGCACGTTAATAATGTTTTGTAATAAATAAGATTAATTTTTTTTATGCAACTTAGAATGGCAAACAAGCTGATGGCCCACCTGATGGAAAGTGGTAACCGTCGCCTATAGACATGAGCATTACCATGGACATAACAGAGTATACTGTTTCGACCAAGATATCCCTATGCGTTGCCATTCCTGAGAAGATTAGGTGTTATTCCTCTGTACCATGTAAATTCACTACCATATTCCACCCTTCAAACAAACAGGTTAAATATGAAAAATATTACTGAATTTCTCCTAATGTCACAATTTTTTTTTATTTGTTCAATGCTAGTTATGCCTTCAATTTCGTCCGCGTGATCAAATGAGAAAGACAAACGCAAAAGTCCTTCTCTGTACCGAATGCATATATCTATATTTTTTTTAATAATGACGTGATAGGTTGTGATAAATAATGTAGATAAATACATGTCAAATTTCACGGAGGAGATCTACTCTGATCTTAATAGACTTTTATATTTTAACTAGCTCTTGACATGTCGATAAAAGTAACTTAAAATGTATTGTAATGACAATTGGATGAGCTATTAAAAAATCAAGAAGCAAATAAACAAACTTTCACATCGATAATAATAATTATGAATAATAGTTTGTTTCTGTGTAGATCTTAGTAGGATCTTAATAAAATTAAAAAAGATGACGTTCATACATTGAAGATATTTAAGAACAATTGGTATGAACCTTCATATTAGTTTTTCTTTAATAAAATAATATTTTTTTACATACTTTGTCTGTATGCCTTTTTATTTGAATGTTTGCACTGTAAATAAAAATCCTGTTGTGTTTCTGAATGTCTTACTTAGTATTGTATGTCTAATGTACTAGTAATAAACATATAACAGCAAAGCTAATGAACGTTACTGCCAAGTAAATTATTAAATTTTATTGTTAATATTCCGTGAAGAGTAGGTATTAGAAATGTATTAAGTAATTTAATTTCTTAATCAGTATTGGATTCAGGCGGAATAATGAAAACAGAAAATTTTCTTTATTATTTTCATCTTTTTTATCCATCCCCTGGTTGCGTTATGGGCCAGTTTCAATTTATTACTAGCAATATACCCTCATCCACGTGGTTCCCTCTGTAAACCATCATAGTTAGTCTGATGAATTTATCACGATGGGCCCCCTGGTCTGCTTTACCTTCACCTGTCAAAACCTGGTGTCCCGCCAGCTTAATCCTATAGCGCAAGCAGGGTAAAAATTGCATTTTCATCCATTAAAAAATTACACCGCGAGCGGAGAGACTTAGAATTAATTACTTATGGAGAGGTATTTAACTTCTTGTGTATTATTTTTATTAGATCGAATTATACTTTGCTAAACGATACAATGTATAACTATGTTGCATGCATTGTTACTTTTTGCAATAGATTTTTCTATTGGTATTCAGATTTTAGTTTACAACCTATTATTATTTATGGTTGTGCCTTCAATACGGGCCTGTTGAGCGTACGTATTTGATCTTGAATCGCGAAATACAACATTAGGATTATGCACGAACGATGATCTCTTTCGTGGGACAATGCATGTTGATTGCAAAACAATCAGCGTCGACCTTTTGCTGGACACGTTTCGTCATGCGACACCGATCATCAACAAATAGCTGATGCATGTGTTATGGAGAAATTAATATTACCGTTCTAGTAATTTGTCGTTAACGTTGTGACCGATCGGCGGCGAGACCGTGGTGAATATTTGCAACTCTTAATGAGTTTACCAAGTCGTAAAGTGCTTGGCGTTCGTTGTGCAGTGCTCATTAGAAATGTACACACTAATCTTGGTAGCAGTGTTGACGAGCGCAGTAGCAGTGCTGCAACCTTGCACTGATTATTGCGAATCGTTGTAAGTATATTAATTTATCTCAACACAACTAATTTACGAGGCGCTTTTTACGGTTGGGCGTAAGAGTTTAATAAATATGTAAATATATTTTGATCATAGTTGTAAAACTAGGATCTACTAATTATATATATATATATATATATATATATATATATATATATATATATATATATATATATATATATATATATATATATATATATATATATAGTAACAGCATTTCTGTGTTTCTAAAAATGGAAATAAAATTTTAATTTTTTTATAATAGCTTATATAATTTATAATTAACGACTTGATTAGATCTAGTTTAAAAATATCATACCTACAATTTTTATCTACCTTTCTGTCTATGCACGCATTACATAAATAATTTTGATAGTATAATTAATTAAGTACGTTTATTCCACAATTCACAAAATGCAATAATTAGGTATCTTATTTATGACCTTGAATTTTATGCGATCGTAAGTAAGTAAAGTTAGGCACCACCTTAAACTGAAACTTCAGTCCTAACGAGAGGATGCGGGTGAAAGAAATTGTTAGGAATGAAGTTCGGCAGCCCCGTTACTGACAAGGTGCCCTGTTAGGTCGACCTCCACGTGATTCCCCCTGGAAACCATCGTGAACAATTCTTGTTGAATTCGTCACGATGGGCTGACTGACCTGCTTCATTGTCATCTATCATCCTTCACTGGTGCCCCGCTGGTGTATACCGATAGCACGGATTGGGTTACCATTCTATTATCACCCATTAAAAGAAAAGAACGAGAAGGATGCTATCCGGGATGTCATGATAAAATGTAAAATCCTTACTGCATTTATAAACTCTCGACATTATTGATATAAATTACAATAATAATTATAAGATATGTAAATTAATTATAAATTAAATTACAAATATAATGAATTTAGATTATCCGTGATTCAAGAACTAATATTCATAATAACAATTAACTTAATTACTTCAATTGTGTCTTTTAGTATTCATTACTGTCCTTATATGATTAATGTAATGAATTTTTTTAACACTAGTAGTGTTTAATTTAAATTAAAATGGAATGGTAAGCCCGACTGCTCCATTTGTTATTTTTTAATGTGTGAAAATGGAATAGTAACCTCGCCTGCGCTATCGGTATACGCTGTCTGAGCACCAGTAAAAGATAAAAATAGGTGAGGTTGAAAGCAGGTCAGTTAACCCATTGTAACAAATTCCATTTATCACGATGGTTTCTAGAGGGAATTGCACTATTAGGGTATATTGCTAACAATTGGGCTATTAGATTCCCATTACAAACAATCCCTTGCAATGGGATGTCAACGACAGCTTATAACCTAAGGAGTGATGGATTATAATTAGCTGATTATGAATCCAAGTCAGTTCGCCTATTATAAGAAATTTTCAAGAAATTAACTAGGGGTAATGTTATGGAGTCAGTACAGTTAAAGTTCTTTATTCACGCTTCCTTTATTTGCGTTTTCATTATTCGCGGATTAAAAACTTGCGACTCAATTCCTATATTTGCGGCTAAGGATTTCTGTATTGCGGATCTAATCTGTACATATTATTAAAAAGGATTAGGTATCCTTTGTAAACGCGTCGGCAAACGGACACTGTAATGTAAAACAGACCTTATTACAACCATGCCTAAAGTATGTTGTCAAATGCTATTGCCGCTATATGAGTGGTTCGGTTTTCCATATTCACGGTTTCTGTATTCGCGGTATATTTACGGAACGTATACTCCGCGAATAATAGAGCTTTTACTGTACCTACGTAAGTAGTTATTAACAGGTTACTAATCCACTGAATTTATTAACCTCTGACTAATGAACAAGTTATTGGGGCCTTTCTCCCTGATAGCAATTATAGTTGTCTCATTATACAATACCACTACTGTCGACTATTTGCTCTAGTTAGGTGTTATAGTAATTTCATTGTATTGTAGGCATATTTACAATTTCCGATGTTTTTATAGCTTTTATACAAATTGAATGTTTGTATGTCGTAAATCAACTTGTTAAATGGAAATTGTTTAAAAAGAGCAAACACTAAAAATAACTTTATTTAAATAATTTTATATAAATATTCTGTTTATATAATAATGATAAACTTCATTCATTTAATTACAATATTTAAAACAACTTTTTATATGATTTAATTTCAATATTAAATAATTTTAAGTCCATGTATTATTAATTAAAAAAAAAGTTAAATCTGAAATTCAGGGATGGTAATTTATGAATTTAATATTCTTACCTAGAAAGATCGAGTCGGAAAGTGACAATCAAAAGTAATCCTAACTTAGAACCCTACGTATAAGCAACGTGATTGATAAAAAAAAAATTTCTCAATTATACTCATCTTTGTAAAATTATAAACAGTTTCGCAATAATAAAAGAATATCTTACAATTCACCGTCAATGTTGAACCGTTTTTGTTGATTTTTTTTTTAATAAAGTGTTTATTTCCATTTGGTATAATTTGATTGGTTACATGTAGGTATCTTAGTATTACAATTAAAAAACAAAAGAGGAAACTGTTAAGACTTATTAAAAATTAATTAAGTTTAACAATTTACAATAAAATTAATATCGTGTCTATTTCAGGATCGCCGGTACCAATGATATGTGGCGGCCGGATTGTGTTTGCTCAACAGACGATAGTACAAAGCCAGTATCGAGGCCAAGGTCTAAAATCAAACCGGCTTTCCAACACGGAGAAACTGCCATTTATTATGAACCAGCCGAACACGTTCCTAGTGAAGGTGTATCATTCGTCTATCACCCATTTATTATTTTGAACCCGACATTTAGACGACATTCTGTTTCTAACACCGTGAATCCTGCAATAAAAATAACCTCTCATATTGAAGATAACATAAAAGAAGAAACGAAACCAAGTACAAAATATAAGCGAAAACATAATTTTACACAAAAATTACAGACCGAACCAGAAGAACGACCTCTATATCTAGATATTGCTATCCAAGACACAGTAAGAAGTAGATCTTCTGTCAAGGAATTTAGTAGTATAGATGATTTACAAGTTATTGAACAGAACTTACTAGATTGCATAGATCTTCATGTGTTAATTTACTCAAGAAAGAATAATAATATTACAAAATTAAAAGAAATTTGGGGAGATAATAAATTTAAAAAGTACGACAATTTATCTAATTCTGATTTAATGATCAAGATTCAAAGTAAGTGCGGCCAACCAGCAAGTGTCATAAAACAAAGTTTAAATGAAATAAAAAAAGCATTACCTAGAAAAAATGCTACTGAACACAAGCCGGGTCAAAATGATAAATTTGATGAAATAATAACTGAGCTGCCTAAAGCAACAGATATAAAAGGGTCTTATTTTACAAGATCAGATGAATTAAGTTCTTCTACAGTCAAGACAACTAGCGCAGAGAAAACACAGTTCGAAGAAAAAACTACGACTAGTAAGTATTTTTCCAAGTCACTAAATAATTTATCAAAAAATAATATAAAATTAATATCAACTAGATCAACAGCACTGAATGCTTCAAATGAACAGAATGAAATAAACCAGCAAACATTAACTTCAACAATAGAACCAACTATTCAATATTATACAGAAGATAGTGTAACAACTTCGTACAATAACAGACACATTACCCAAAGTTTTAGTAAGAAAGATAGTTTACTTTCAGTTAGTCCTACAAGCAGTGAAGCTATTCCTGAAAATGAATATTTACCAAAAAATATTTTAAAGGATAGTAATATTTCCAATACAAGTACAGAGCATTTTTTTTCGGATTTACCTAATAATCATTCAGATAAAGATATAAACACTATTGGGTTTTCCTACACTGATTCTCATGAAAATATTTCACCTGCGGAAACTTCAACAGAGAATGCAGTTATAGATCATAGCAATATTACTAAAAACTACCAAGATTTGCAGAGTGAAGGGAGAGTTCATAAAGAACACATATTATTAAATAGTACAACTACTGTAGGTGATAATCGAATATTGTATCCGGAAGGTGAAATGAAAATACCAAAAGTAATAGTTAAAGAATATCCGAATGATACTGTTATTAGTGAAATATCTGGTAATGAACTATTACCTAATAATGATTTTACCTATTCAACAATTCAACCAATCTTAAATATCTTAAAAGAAAACAATACATATTCTGATACTAATTTTACGTTTGGTGTTCACAAACCCATAAATAAGAATACTGAAATAGGATCGACAAAATCGTTTGGAATACAAGGCAGTCCACGGCCAGAAATAATTGGCAAACTCTATTTCCATTTTAATAACGAATCTATTCCGGTACACTTCGTTCAAGAATCCGATGGAACTATTAATGTGGGTTTAGATGGAATATCATTGTGTGATGAACTAAATAATAGTGGGCGAAATAAATCTGTTCTGTTGACAGTTTTGTGTAATTGCGCACGATCGCCAAACTGTGCGAGTACTACTATAAACTAGTTAAGTGTATCATATGCTGCATTAAAAATGTTTAGTTCTGGATTCTATTGTATTGTGTTTTATTTATAAGAGAACTAGCCCCTTACCGCCATCTATTTTCCTTATCGGTATAATGACTATCTTATCTCTTTAGTTGTAACAAACAATACGCGTTTACAAAATATTATTAAAAACCGTTTCGATATCTATATATTGAATTCTTCTGAGACAGAAAAAAGGTCATTAATCATTTTGACATCGCCCATAACAGTTGGATATATATTAATTTATATAGGATCTTTCATTTCGCTATTATATATTGGATTACTGATTATTAATTAATTAATCAAGGCTGTGTGGTCCTGGCAAAGAATAGGCCATCCCTTTCTTTTCCCGTGGGTATCGTAAAAGGCGACTAAAGGCAGGTGAGGGATGGGCAGTAGCGTCCCTCTTAAAACATTTCTAAAGCCTAACTGCGGTTGCCAATCCGCCTGCTAAGTGTGGCAACTACTGCCAATACTCCCCAAATGTTCTATGGCTTATGTTCAGCAATGGACAATTAAGGGCTGAATCACCCAATTTAAGAAAAATGTATGTGTGATCTTACTACATATAATGTCTTAATTTTGCACTAGCGATATTAGGTATATTTTGATGTACTTAATAGTCAAGTATTTTTTCCTCAGTAATTTTATTATGATAACATTTGTTTATATTTATCGTCATATCATTTAAATTGCTCCACAAAATTATATTATCAACATTTTTCTAGATTAAAGTAACATAACATCGGACTTTGAACTTAGTTTTGGTCTATTTTCTATATATATATATATATATATATATATATATATATATATATATATTACAGATTGCTGATGTAATTCATTCACTCTTTGATACAAAAGAAATATGCAGTCATAACTAAGAATGTAGATTAATATTTCATAAAAATGAATTCATAGAATATCAAATATTTTTATTTTTTTCTAAAGGTTTCTTCAACATCTCATGACTTCAAATAGTACTCCAACATTAATGGGATCCGATTATCGCATAGCTTCGTTATGCAATGCGTATTCTACAAATCAAGAATACTATGCAAGACCAATGGGAATCATAATTGAAACTCTTATTGGCACTCAAAAAGCCTTACCAAATGGCAATCCAGCAACTCCTCTGCCCACGGTGCCTCTGTCAATATATATATATATATATATATATATATATATATATATATATATATATATATATATATATATATATATATATTACTGGCACATATTTAATTCTTTGACAATCTATATCTACCTGTAAGGGTAGTTATTGCTATAAAGTCTCACGAAAGAAAAGAATCACTGAGACAGATCTGTATATACATATATTTTAATGTGCGCAAAAGAATAAATAAATAAATACTATGAAGGAAAAAGATAAACAAGGTATGAAAGATAATAAAATGGTATAGCATTGTTGATTACAATTAACACTTGTGTTTTTACTCGCAGCATTCAATAATTATAAATATTTAATTGGTTGACAAGGGTCAAGTATTCACTCATGCAAGTGTTCTATGGTCGCAGCCAACAGAACCACTCGTCTGGACCCGCCTCCGCTAAAGTTATTAAGACTAGTCAAGGCCACAGTATGCGGCAACATACTGGATTTAACTTTAGTGTAATTATTATGTAATCTGCACTTTGGATACAAGGTCGACACAAAGATTAAAATATTTTCTTTAATAACTAGAGATGAAACATATATCCGGCAACAAGCTGGTTTCCTGTTTTGGATTCGACCTATCCGGCCGCAAATCTACTATCCGGCTTTATACTTGATATTAACGTAAAATGTAACAGAATGCCAGAAATAAAAAAAAAAAAAAAAAAAACTATGACATTTTTTTAAATAAAATGTAATATAGTATAATCTTTGGCCTTAAGTAATTTTAAAATTAGCTGACTCGTTTTTTTTTGTAAGTGGAAAATTTTCATGATAACATGATACAAGAGTAATTTGTCAGTCTCGTTCGAAAAACTTAAAGGACGGGTGAACTATGTAGATTGGAAATTTGCTAGGCAGAATGCTCTTACTTTTGAAAATATATGAAAATGCATTTGTGCAGATGATAGCTTGTAACCTGAAATAAGAAAACGGCTGGACGACAAGGAAAATCATTGATTTGAGTTGAAAAATGTTGTTTTTCTCATCTTATGGGAAAGCTGAGAAAGCAAAGCAAGCTTGGAATGCTTTGAAAGGTGCATACGATGACAAAGGTCTTGGTATGCGATTGAAGATATTACGTAGTCTTTGTTCAATCAAACTGGAGGACTTTGTTTGTATGAAGACGTATGTCGATCAAATTTTATTGTATGCTCTACAGTTAGCAAGTACGAATACAACTATCGATGATGAGTTTCTTTGGGCAATTATGCTGCAACTTTTATCATCAGAGTACGAATCCATGATCATGGCACGTGAGCACTCGGGAATTGTAATATTAGTGGGTTTAGTGAAGACTAAATAATTACAAGATAAGCGTTGGACAACTCGCGATGAATCGAATGAGTGCTTGTTTTCTTGGAAAAAAAAGCACTTCAGCTTCGAGTACGAGTACATCCGGAACTAGTGACGCGTAAGGAAACAAAGGCGAATTAAGGAACACGAAGCAAACTTCTTATCGTAAGAAAAAACCGTGGTACTGGAAGTGTAGACAGGAAAGGCAACTAAAAAAAGATTGTAGCAGTGAAAAGAGTTTTTCTGGAAACTGTGTTTTGTCGGCATCATTGCTAGTGCGGATAAAGAAAGCTCGTTATACATTAACTCGGGAGCCACAAATCATGTGACTGGACGGCGTGATCTGATGAATAATTTCATATCGCGTGATTGTTTAGTAACTTTGGCTAGTGGTGAAAAAGGCTTCGTTTACCGAGGCGAAATATATAATATTGGAGGCGGTAAGAGAAGCGGTGTACATCCATGTCTTACTCTCTGAACTGACGGAGCATATTAACGCTATCGTATTATATTGCGGCAATCAGTCAACAATCAAACAGCTGCTGATCAATATCCATATTAAGATTAAGAGGGCGTATTGGAGTTTTAATACTGGCTGTTGACATTGAGTTTTTTTTAGAACGTTTGTTTTTTTTATACGTATACGTATAATATATTGTTCTTAACATCAATTCAATTCTTATTAAAAAAATCCTCATTTCCGAAATTTTAATTAAATAGAAAAATTTTTCAGATACTTGCAACACTTAAAAATGGATCAAATTCTTTAAAAAAAAATGTGAATAATTTTAATAGTATTTACGCTTTAATTTTAAGATAAAGACGGTTATAAGTTATTTTTTATTATCAGTTCTAGTTTTCGTCTTATAATTATAAGATTTGTGCCTTTTTAGAGTGCAAAAACTGATTTTAATTAGAAATAGACACGTCAAGATACGAAGTAAGTTTATAGAACAATAATAAAAAAAGATTACGAAGCAACTTTTAGTACCAACTAATTTGACAATTCGCTGACAAAAAGTTGCCTCGTTTTTGAGGCTCGAAGCTCTATTTATATAATCTAAGTTATACCTATCTGATTCACGGGGGCAAAACCGCGCGAAACAACTTGCAGGTAATTACTGCAATACATATAAAATATGTCAAAATTAAGAAAGATAACAATCTTTTTTATTATGAATGATAACCCCACCTGCGCTAAAGGTATACGCTGGCGGGATACCAGTGAGGGATGATAAGTAAGAATGAAAGAGCAAGTCAGTTAGCCCATCATGATGAATACACTCGGAATTCAGCGCGATGGTTTCCAGGGGGGACCACGGGGAGGTCGACCTGGTTGGGTATATTGCTAGTAATAGGACCCTTAGTCTCCATTACTAACAGTCCCTCCCCCCCCCCCCCCATAGATAGCAATTATTAAATAATTGTTGACAAGTTAATTTTAAAATTAAGGCATACCCTCTTGATTAATTATCCGATAAACCGCAAGTACAATTCTAGTTTTAGTTTAATGGAGAGTTGAAACGTTACAGTTTATCTCTAAAATGCCACAAACAATTATACAATTTTCAATGTTTCTGACTGACTATTTAAAAAGTGCTCTGCTATCGAACTAGTAATACTAGATATTTATTTTCAAAGTATATTTTTTTTAAAGTAGGTGTAAGTATGTTACTTACTATATTTTTAATCTAGTTATTTTAAATTATTAAATGAAATGAAAATTTAACTATGTTTATGATAAGTTTCGATTGATTACCCACAGCCGATAAACAGCACCATTAGCGATCATGTAGCAATAAATAGAACTAATGAAAGTTAATAAATTTTAGTTTTTCAATCGCTCTACAGAGGCAGCCCAAACGGTCCCTCGCTAATAATTTTAAATAATATAGAACTTGAAAAATAAAGAATACCAGTTATTACGGAGCAATTTTAGGCTATTGCAAACTATTTACAAGATTCGTAATTAAGAGAGACAACATAGACGTAATATTTTATTCTCATGTACCTAATGACAGACTGGCAATGCAATCATAAAGGGGGGATAGGGATTGTTAATGATGGAGACTGAGAATCCCATTGCTAGCAATATACCCAACCAGGTCGACCTCCTCGCGGTTCCCCCTGGAAACTATCATGGTTAATTCCTTATGAATTCATCATGATGGGCTAACTGGCCTGTTTTCATTCTCATCTATCTCCCTTCACTGGTGCTCCGCTAGTGTATCCCGTTAGCGCAGGCGGGGTTACCATACCATTTTCACCCATCAATGCAATCATAAAAACGAGACAGACACAATGTGCGTGTTTTGTAAATGTGCTCGTGTGGTAGGTCCGGATGTATATGGATTTCAAGTAGAAAAAATGCAAAAATTCACGTAATTCTTATAGTATTTATTTCAGCTCATAGACATTCAGACCTTTATTTGGATTAAATTATTTTTTTTTTGTCCAATTGCATATAATATTTGTGATGATTCTACAATATATAGATACGCAGCGGTGTATCAAGTTCATCTGGGAGAATTGTTAGTAATGCGGATTACCGGTCCCATTGCTAGCAATATACCCATCAAGTCAACCTCCACGTGGTCTCCCCTGGAAACCAAGTTCAAGCTAAGACCTGATAATGCAGCAGCCTTGTATATTACACGAACCATTTGTAGTTTTTGACATTGACACTTTAACAACTCGATATTTTATCAATATAAACACATTAAACTATGTTTATTTATTACAAACCCCTTCATTATCATCATATCAACATTTAACTATCCATTACTGAACATAAGCCTTCCATAAGCAGGCGGATGAGCAACCCCAGTTAGGTTTTGGATATGTTTTAAGAGGGACGCAGATGGACAGCAATCCATCCTCTCACTTAGTTGTCTCTTACGATACTTATGAGAAAGGAAGGGGTGATCTACTCTGTGCCGGGACCACACGGGACATCTTTGTTTATGGTCGTTCTTTCTAACATCCTTTTTTCTATCTTATTATTTGCTAAGTACGGCTCAAACGGCTATTCAGATATTAATGTCTAAAAATCGATACTTACATCACTGACTAGCTAACATACGAGTATAAAACAAAAACCTATTTCATTTTGATAATCTAGATATTTGATGGCCCTCAGCTGAGTAATCTTGTGTATACAAATGAAAAACTTAAAAAACAGTGTACTACTATTATTTAAAATTTTATCAAGCAATTTTCGATTTTGATTAACACTTAGCGCCTGTCAAAATTATAATAGAAAAAAAATCTCAGTAGAGCGTTATGGCCTAGTGGTTTACTATTTTTTTTTAATGGATGATAATGGGATATTGACCCCGCCTGCGCTATCGGTTTACACTAGCTGGGCATCAGTAAAGGATGATAGGTGAAAATGACGCAAGTCAGTTAGCCTATCGTGACAAATTCACCAATGAATTAAACACGACCGTTTCCAGGGAGAACGGCGAGGAGGTCGACCTGATAGGGTATATTGCTAGTAATAGGGTTACTAATCCCCATTTCTAACAATCCATTTACCCCGAGTGGTTTATTATTGGGCTAACAGACTTTAACACCAAAAACTTTGTGTCAATTTAATTTCCGATTCACTCTCCGGTAAAGGAAACCTTACATTATGGTTAATGTTATGTTCATCACAATAGCCACGCACGACTTATGACTTTGACTACTACAGGGTTACAGTTGTGAGTATATTTTATTTTTGTAATTATATTTGAAAATACGAGTATTAAAAGTATGTATAATTTCCAAGATCTCCGATTTGGTTCCTGTTGTTTATAAATGTTTATTATACATTTTGAAAATTACATACCACGAAAAAGGAAACTATTTAGCGTAAGCATAATAACAAAAATTGATTTTATAAATCACTTTTGAATGTTAAATAATTTCTTATTATTATAATTTCTTTACATAAAGTAATAATATCCCATTAAAAACATAAACGTAAAACGAATGCCAAATATTATATGAGTAGGTAAGTATATTAAAAATAAGCCTGGTTGTTTTCGTCGAGAAAAGAATTGACATCTAAATAACTGTTAAGTTTTATAGATGGGGGAATAGGATTATTTGTAATGAGTTTAAACAGCCTCATTGTTATATATATGCCACATTAGGTCGACATCCATGTCGTTCCCTCTATATTAATTTTAAACTATTTTCACTTCAAACGTAAAAATATATAGAACTTGTTTTTTTATATTGCCACCAAATCTAATTTGAATTTATAATGTATAAATGAAAGCCTTATGTCTATCTTGCGCTAATATACATGTAGTATAAACATACTTTATAATCTAAACATGTTATTGTTTTCTTTTTTTTTTAGTGTAAATTTTTCTATATAATTTATAATGTAAACAAATTGCTTTGTTTGCTGTTTTTTAATTATCTGTAATTCTTAAACTGTTAATCAACAGTTAAAGTAAGATTGATCATTTACGAAGTTCTTATCTAGATAATTTTTGTCGAATATATATATATATATATATATATATATATATATATATATATATATATATATGTATATAAACTATAAGTACATTATACTAAATCTATGTACAAAAGTGCAAAATAATTAGGTATTATAAATATAGTAGGCCAAGTAATTTAAATTAACCTAAAATTATAAGTCACACAAGTGCTCTTCGATGATCTTTTATTTGATGAGTTGACTTATTACATATTATTAAATATAAGTATAACGTAGATAGAGAAATATTCGACTTTACTTAGATAAAGTTAGTTGATACTGGCAACTCTATTTCCCCTTCCACTAAAAATCCACTTCAACCAACTGAAGCGAGCCGCAAGCTAAGTACGAAGTTGTCAATCGCAACTATCAAAGAAGAGCGGTGAACATCGAGGAGAGGTCGTGGAGATTTTTACCATCTAGCCACCATCGCCGTTCGCCAATTACACCATGGCTGATACCGAAAAGGCGCCGCAGCCGCAGCCCCAACAGCAGCAGCAGCAGCAAGAGCAACCAGCCCAACCGCAACAAACGAAATCAGCTAAACAAAAGCAAGTCATTGGTGAGTGCGCCATCTTAGTTTTGTGTGACCGGCATTCTATGTTAGTGAAAGCACATGGTCACTAAATTTCAAAATCTCCTATTTCTTTAGTTCTAATTATATTTATTTATCTTGGATATGTTTCTCAGCTAAAAATATGACATGTAATTTGAGAATTATTTCTTGATGGCCTAGTTCGAATAGTTATTGATCGTATATTGACCCCGGCAGCATTGTGCCGCCGAGTGGAAGCATCTGAGCATCGCGTTGAATAAATCAATACCGGGGATGCGTCCTATTCAGTAATTACTTATGCACTTCGAATTCACTTAAATTTAGGTGACACGTGGCATGATTATTACTGTTTTGTAAATATTGTGTCGCGTCATATAACACGTGATTATCCATATTAATGCTTAGTGTTATTTAGTTTTTAAATTCATAATATTCCTTTAATCTACTTCATTAAGTGATATCGCTCTAAATTGGCTTACTTCATGATAAACAGTTATTTTTTATATGCTTATTTTAAACAATTTTATTGTATTTTTATTGTTAAATAATAACCAATTGATAAAATATATACTTCCCGATAATTTTGTATATAATAATAATAAATGCTTAAAAATTTGCCTCTAGCGAGTTTCAAGTGTTGGGGATAAATATTTGTCATGCTATTAGCGAGTAATTTTATTTTAAATTGTGTTAATATTTATTTATAATTTAGCATTGTTTGGCTATAAGTATATACAATAAAGAATTGTTTTCTTTATAAATTGCAAACCTGCAAGCTATTTAATCTTATGATCTCGTGTACATAAATTATGCACAATAAAATTGAAGGTACATAAAAAATAAACTGTTTTTTCATAAAAGAATTAAATGCACAAATAATAGCACATCTACTAAGAAATATAATATTTCTATACAAATACAGAAGACTTGTGTTATGCGAGTGTATTAATATTACAATGAGTGTAATATGTAAGTCTATTGAAGTAGTTTTTAAATAATATTACCTATTATATTTGTATTTAAAACAGAGTCAATATACAATCAATAACTTGAATTTTACATTATAAATAGAATTCATGTCATCTTTAATCCTCCATCCTTCCTCTACTGATATAAATTAATAGTTGTCATTTACCTTCTCTAATTAACTACAGTATAATGTACATACAACAGTACATTTCATCTAATAAGTTTTCTGCATTGTTTTATAATCGAATCAATAACTAAATTATTAATCAACTTAATTTTTAATTTCTAGCTGAGAAAGTTTCCGGTACCGTGAAATGGTTCAATGTGAAGAGTGGATACGGTTTCATTAACAGGTATGAAGTGAGAATGATAAGTCACAAAATACTACCATATTATAGTGATTTTATGTATATAATCTACTAAAAATTACAGAAATGACACCAAGGAGGATGTGTTTGTACATCAAACAGCGATAGCCCGGAACAACCCACGCAAGGCTGTGCGCTCGGTCGGCGACGGGGAGGCGGTGGAGTTTGCCGTGGTCGCCGGGGAGAAAGGCTATGAAGCGTCAGGAGTAACTGGTCCCGGCGGTGAGCCAGTAAAGGGCTCACCTTATGCAGCTGATAAACGCCGCGGCTTCCATCGCCAGTTAGTATGATAAATATTTTCTTATAAATATACCAATCCAAAATATAAGTGGTATCTGTTAGTTTGTAAACGGCTAATGATTTATGGCTACCATGTATATTAATTTTGTAGATATTACCCCCGTCAAGGCGGCGGACGTGGCGGTGAAGGCACTCCACGTAGAGGTGGCATGGGACGTCGTGGGCCCCCGCCCAATCAGGGGGGCGCACAGGGTGATGAAGGGCAGGAGGGATGCGGAGCACCACCACAGCGTAGGTAAGTGTCATATCACCAATTTTAATTCAATATTTGGTATCAATTTATTTATTCATTTTTAATGATGACTTACAATATTCATTTTTTTTTATTATTAGCTATTTCCGCCGTAACTTCCGAGGGGGTCGTCGTGGTGGGGGCCCAGGGCCGATGAACCGCGGCGGGTATCGCCGTATGCGCCCACGCAACTACCAACAGGGACAAGGTGGACCCAGCCAGGGACAACAGGGCCAGCCAGGTCAGCAAAATTCAAACCAACGTCAGAACGCCCAGGAAGGCGAGGCTCCGGCCACCACAACGTCTCCACAGCCACAGGCCAAGCCGAAAAATAATGCGAAACCTGCTGGCACCACTATCGAGACAACTACAAATGAGAGCCAGGCCTAATCCCTCGGTATCTGAATGGTGTGGCACACCCCCTCTATGTAGTGCATGTTTATTCTAGCTGTGCCACACACACACTTTACAACTTACTGTCTTGTCTGTCTGTCAACTTGAGATTGTCCGTTTTAATGTTGTTGCAGACATTTGAAATAAGATCTATGTACATTAACATCAATTTTTTTTGTCTTGTTGAAAAATCTTGTGGGGAGATTTATGATATGGAACTGCATTGCTATCATGAATCAGAGATGTGATATTTTTGTCACTTTTAAATTTTAATATATTATATTGTTTGTATTTGCGCGATATTTTGATTAACATTAAATTATGTTTACAGTTTTAAAAAATCTTAGGAGATTTAACGAGGAATTAAATTGAAATCTCCAGGAATGAGACATTGTGCAATGAAATTAATGATTTGTATATACACTAATAGAGAAATGTGCAGATTCCAAAGCCCCAACTGATTTTTTTTTTATATAGCCTCTTTTTTTATTTATATACTTTGCATATTTTTTTGTTATTTAAATTGACAAGTCTTATTTGTAACCAGGTAATTACTTGTATTTTATCTTGAAACCCTGATAAACTTATTTTCTTTTTCTTGCATTAGTATTGTATTTTAAAAACTATAAATAAAAGTTCTTTTTACCCGTGTGAAACATTTTATTTAAATATTAATACCTGATAGGCAAAACAATTCAGTAGTCCCTTTATATAGTCTCCTAAAATTGGTAGCTAAGGTAGGCTCTACAGACTTAACAGTTCATAGAATGTACGAGGGTCATTTGAAAAATTCTTAGCCTAACATGGTTAGTCATTGGTTTTTTTTATAACTACCCTTATTTTGTAGTTACATTATTTAGCAACATGTATGCACAGTTTAGTTTACTCACAGTAACTCATTGTTCGTTTACACGTAATACCGTAAGTCAAATCAGAGCTATTTTTGAAAATGGATAAAATTGAACATCGTGCAGTGATAAAATACCTGGATTTGAAAGGTTTAACTCCAAAAGCTATTCATGAAAACATGTCTGTTACTTTGGGCGAGTCCGCTCCTTCGTATGCGACTGTTAAAAACTGGGTGGCAGAGTTTAAACATGGTCGTGAGACCATTCAAGATAAGCCCCGTAGTGGCTGGCCTTCGACTGCTTCCACTGATTAAAATAAAGAAAAAAATCTGTGATTTAATTTTATCTGATCGAAGATTGACTGTCGAAGAGATAGCTAAGACTAGGCATCTCATCTGAGCAAACACATTATATAATTACTACTGAACTTGGATTCTCTAAGGTGTCTGCGAGGTGGGTACCGCGACTGCTTTCAGTGGAACAAAAACGCAACCGACTCACAACTTCTCGCGACTGTTTAGAGTTATATGAAGCTGATCCAGTAGAATTTGTTGAAAGATTTATAACCATGGATGAAACCTGGGTTCATCACAATACACCCGAGACAAAAGAATATTCGAAACAATGGAAAAGAGCAGGATCGCCGACCCCAAAGAAGGCAAAGGTGGTTTTATCGGCGGGCAAAATCATGGCATCCGTTTTTTGGGATGCGAAGGGTATAATTCTCGTGGATTATTTAAAAAAGGGTGAAACAATAAACTCCGATTACTATTGCAACCTGTTGCATCGTTTGAGAGAAGAAATCAAAGAAAAACGTCCAGGGTTGAGAAGAAAAGTCTTGTTTTATCAGGACAATGCGCGTGTTCACACCTCTGTGCAATCCATGGCAGAAATCCATCAATGTGGCTTCGAATTGTTACCTCATCCCCCATATTCACCGGATTTAGCACCTTTTATCTGTTCCCAAAGCTGAAAAATTTTTAGGTGGTAAACATTTTTTTACAAATGAAGAGGTCATAGCCGCCGTAGACGCTTATTTTGAGGAGTTAGATGAAGATTTTTTTAAAACTGGTATCGAAGACTTACCGGGTCGACGGAAAAAGTGTTTTGAGCTCGTAGGAGAGTATGTTGAAAAATAAAAATAAACTCAAAATCGTGTGGTTTCATTAAATATGTTAGGCTAAGAACTTTTCAAATGACCCTCGTAGAATTAAATATATAATAGATTATTAAATATTTAATTGAAATTTTGAATGTCTTGAATAAGTTTTCAGTTCCATGTTAAGAAAAAGAGGAATTGCTGACTTTGTACAAATGTTCAAAAAATGTATAATTACCTACTCCAAGCTCCTTGCTATCCTTAATCTATGTCTGGCATATAGAATTACAGAAAACTGTTTATGATAATTCACCTGTACTAAGGGTAAAAGCTATCAGGGCACGAGTGAGAGGTGATGAAGGTAAAAGATCAGTGCATGGCCCATCGCAATGAATTCATTAATAATAAACCACAATGGTTTCAAGAAGGCTCCGTGTAGAATTCGACCTGTTAGGGTAACTTGCTAGCAACAGGGAGTCGGACCCTATTACTATCAATTTTTTCCTCTCACAAAAAGGATTGATTCTAAGGTGACTATTCTCTAAAATTAAAATTTTAATTTAATATCACAGGGAAATCTTTATTGTATGTTTCAATATAAAGATTTGTCAACATTTATAAAACAGTAAGTGATGGTTCATAAAACAGTAATTCCACAAAACTATCAAATTATAATAGAAGGTTCTAGATAGGATCATGCCCAGTGATAGGTTAACTTCAATAAAAGATTAATACATGTTTAGATGGATTTATTATAAAAGCATATATAATATCTGTTAATGTCTAAACAAAAAGTATTCAAAAATAAAAGTTATTTAAAGTAATAATTTTATTATAATAATCTGTAGATTTTCGCACATAAAATTGCAAATTAATATTATACTGACTGAATAATAAGAGTATTAAATCAGTTTTGTTAAATACTGTTTATATAGTGGTTTAAATATTATTTGTACTAATATTATAACATACAAAGTATTGAGGATAGTACATTACCTTTGCCTGAGCATTCTCTTTCTACATAATTATCAGAAACTATTTATTAGATAGGTAACAAGAGTTAATATCATAACATTATCTGTCTTAATATGAAATTAATCATTAGTGATTTTTTTTTAATAAAGGTGTAGAAATTTAGGTATATATATCAGAGATGTAATTTATATAAGCTTAGGTTATATAAATAGTCTCCATAGACATACTTCGAGAAAAACGGGTGAACTTTTTCATACCAGTTTCCGTGTTAAATAGTTGATTCCTTTATAACTTCTATATTTAGTTTGTCTTAAAAGTTCTGCATTTATTTAATGTGTAAACACTTATTTATTTATTAAATAAGACGTCAAGATATTTGTTATGCATAAATATATACAATCCTGATAAAAAAAAGAGTCGGCTAATTTGACAATTGGCTTGTAAAATGTTAACCGATTTTTGAGGCTTCATGCTTTATCTATATAATCAAAGAAGTCAGACAACACATGGGGTCGATTCTGAGGGGCTATTTCTTTTCACTTAATATTGTAATTTGATTTATTCATTAAACATAGGCCTTTCTCATAGAGTAGTCAATTTTAATTTTATAATTTCGATATAATGCTGTTTTATGGAACTAAATTTAACATTATAATTAACAATATTTATTAAATCTACTTAGTTATTATAATAAAAAGTTCGCTCCTGTTGGTATCAAATTAAAATTTTAATTATAGTTTGATTTACAGAAATGGTGCTTCAGAATCGAACCTAAAAATTTAAATGTGTTATGTGGTATATATTTACAATAAATTTTGATGCCTTTTACAGTTTTACCATTTTTAAGACTTGTAGGTAATTTTTAAACTTGAAACACTTGTCGATTTCTTTCTGTTGACTTCTCTTTTACCGTTACGGATCGCAACCTGTTCTGTATTTTCTCCTTTACTGTATGCATAGTAGTACGTCTCTGCCGTTTCTTTTGTTTCTGTGAATTAGAAAAATGAATCGAGCGTCATCTAAAAGAAGGAGGTTTTATTATCTATATTTCATATTATTTACATTACATCAAATACATCTGCATTTTGTGGCTATGTTAAGTTGTTAATTTCTAGAAATTGCAAACGAATCATTTCGGTTACTAGTTGCATTTATAACTTCAGCTTACCAAAGTGTGGCAAAACATAATTATGTATTTGTCAATTTTCAAAAACAAATTAAGAGCATCCATACTTTCGCTTACCGAACTGTGGCAATAAATTTTATATGTATCTACCATAGAGTACTTTGCACCTTATTTCATATACTTTTCATATAATTTTAGAAGTAGAAAAATAAAAAAAATAGACCATTCCTATATGGCGTATCGAGATTAAACATACACCAGTTTTTAAGACCTTCATGGATACAATTCTTAAATCCATATCTAATTTCGTGTAGTAATTTTACCCGACGCCGGATGAAATATACAGTCAGTCAGAAAAAAATAACTAAAAACTATTGTTTTGACTAATATTGTCTTTATTAAGACCGCTCATATCAATTTTTCTTTAATATCTCTTAGGTAAAGACATCATCTAATTACAATTTCATATTAGTAAGAAGATAAATGAGAGTATAAAACCCGAAACATTGTCGGTAGGTTATTTTAGGATAATGAGACTCCCTAAAAGATCGAGCAGCGATTGATCGCCTAAAAATATCATCTTCTTCTTACCCTTATCTCAATTGTTTAAATTTTGACGTCGGCATAATTTGTTTTTATTTATATTACTTAAGGTTTTGGTTTTTAGTTATACGACTAGTGGCCTGTTTGACGTCTACCTTCCTTGGGATATATTTTTGATATTTCGAAAACAAAAGATTTTAATTCTCTCATTAAGTATTTAGGTACTTGAAAATAATATTTTTTAATGAATTTTCTTTCCAAGGGGTCCTTGGATTATTATGAATGCTTAACATAATTCTTATAAATTGAGAAGTTTCCTAATTTTTTTTTATACAAATTAAAATGGCAAACAAGCTGATGGGTCCACCTGATGGAAAGTGGTAACCGTCACCTATAGACATGAGCAGTACCATAGATATAAGAGTATACTGTTTCGCTCATGATACCCCCATGCGTTGTCATTCTTGAGGACTAAGCTGTTATCCCTCTGTACCCTGATATTGAAAATACCATGTTTAGCTTAACAGAATTAAAATGTAGGTCAAAACTTATAAGCTAATATATATACTCACAGCAATTTGATCATTGATGCTGATGGTACACCACATTTAATTTTGAGGTAAGTAACGTGATCCTCGCTGTAATAAGTTTAGAAGACACTACATGGCCGTACACCCTACTTTCCTTGACTTCATTGATTGACTTGAAGCAACGAGTGCAACAGACCGTTTCATATTTAATTATGTTTTCTTACTTATAAGTATTTATTTGTAAATTGTATCTACGAAATTATATTAAATGAAATTTCCTACTTGTAGCATATTTAGAGTCTGCATCTCTTGTGCAAGAATATTGGACTGTTCATCCATTTGGATAGAAGCCAATGATTCGCTATCACTAGTCGAAGAAGAGCTTGATATCTGTATAAAAAGAAATAGGGCTATAGGTCGAGAACGTATGTGTCAAAGCATGGTTCAGGTGACTGATAACAAAAATCGTAGATCAAAAAATCGGCCAGGTGCGAGTTGAACCTACACGCCAAGGTTTCCGTACTAAAATATATAAAAATTACGTAAAATTACCTTTATTTCATTTCTCATATGAAATTGAGACTATATAATAGGTAATATTACTGATACTACAATTCATAATTTTCATTTTTGGATATAATTGTGATAAAAAACTGAACCGCTTAACTTTGTTTTTGAAGGATTTTTTTTTTAATTTCTTATTAACAATGATAATAAACGGGAGAATAGGCCACCGTTTCTTCCCCGTGGATGTCGTAACAGGCGATTTAGGACATTTAATGGTAGAGGGCAGCAGCGCCCCTGTTAAAACGTCATCAAAGCCTAACAGAGGTTACTAATCCGCCTGCCAAGCGTGCAAGTACTTGCAATACCCCCTACTAGGGGAGGCCGGGGGGAAAGGGATTGTTAGCAATGGAGTTTGACAACCCCATTGCTAGCAATATGCCTTCTTAGGTCGACCTCCACGTGGTTCCCCCTGGAAACCATCGTGAACAATTCTTGTTGAATTCGTCACGATGGGCTAACTGACCTACTTCATCCTCACCTATTATCCTTTACTGGTGCCTCGCCGGTGTATACCGATAGCGCGGGTGAGGTTACCATTCCATTATCATCCATTAAAAAAATAGGGAAGGCCTATGTACAGCAGTGAACAGTTAACGGCTGATGTAATGATGATGAGGGAGGAATGTATAAATATATGCATTTAAACCTATTTGTAAACTTACCGGAATAAGAGACCCTCTTTTGACTTTAAGCGTCTCTTTAGAGTTCAGCTCTGGAGGCATGAAGATTGTATCGATACATAGTCTATTGTCTTCGTTAGCGTTAAAAATGAAGAAAGAGCTAGTTGTGGGCGGTAGATGTTGCATTAGTTTGTGACCAACAGCGACAATTGCGCAAATAACTACCGCCGCGACGGTGATGACGGGAGCATACCCAAGCCGCTCCACTGGCAAAGCACAATCAGACTTACGTTCATCAAACCTGTATATAGGTGATTGTTTACATGTTAATGAACGAGATATTTTCAAAAGTATAATCACAATGCGGTTGGGCATAAACAAAATTAAAGACTACTAGAGCAGATTCTGTAATGATATCAGGTTTTTAGTTAAAAATACTTCGGTAAAATTAATAACGATTGAACTCGTAATGAGACTTATTACGAGAAAAAAGATGTTTCTTTTTGTAAAGTAATGGTTCTTAATATTTGCTGAGATTGGAGAACAGCGGAATGACGAAAGGAGTAGGTAATGTATGTATTTACGGTAATAAAATTGCCGTGTGGCCCGGCGTAGAATGTGGTACTCCTTACTTTCCTGTGGGTATCATAAGAGCCGACTAAGGAAATTAAATGGTCGATGAATGGGCAGCAGCGTCGCTCTTAAAATACCATCAAAGCTTAATGCGATTGCCAATCCGCCGCAGTTACCAACGTGTAATAAGAGCTATTTCATTTTTAAAATATTAGAAAGTCATACGATAATTGCAATAATATTTAAGGTGTTAAAAATTTGGCATCACTATTTGGCGTGCGCTGCAATGATGATTGAATATATATAAAACAATGTACTACACTTTTATAGTACCTACGTATCATAACCCACAAAAAAATTCCGAGGCCAAATAACTAGTACACTTAAGTTACAATTACCCTTTTTTTTATTAAAATTTTTAATCAAAATACGGGAACAATTGAAAGATGATAACATTTGTATCATGATATTAATTCTTATCTAACTGAATAGTTTTATAATTAAGGCGAATAATGTGTATATATATTCCTCCATGTATAGTAAGAAAATAAACGCGATGTTAATGAACAGTCTTACGTTTAGTATTGTTGTTATTTCCTATCGATCCAGGTACTAATTTATCTTTCTATCTATTCATGCGTATTTGAAGCGGATCACTAGTATACAATAAATATAAATAAAATATTCGGAAAATTTCTGTATAGGACCTACCAATCTGAAACTCCACAGTTCTTGATGCCATCACATACGACACCGCTGGTAAAGCAAAATTCGTCATCTCCGATCACACACACAGTCTCATTCCTGAAGTTACATCCTACTGAAGGTTTCTTTCGAGCCGATGTAGCTGTAACTTGATATAAATTAGCCTGCAATGTCATTAAATCGAATGTAGGTCAACGACATATTTTTGCATACATGTATTTTAATGAGCAAAGTTCTGTCAACAGAGGAGAACGATTGTTAGCGAGGGAGACTAAGGGCCCTTTAGCTAGTGTTAAATAAACATTGTCATGTTGACCTCCACATGATCCTCTTGGAAAGCATTGCGGAAAATACGTCATAATGGGCGAACTGACCTGATTTCATCCTCACCTATCGTCCCTCCAGCTAACGTAAAAACCAACAGTGCAGACCGAGTTACCACACCATATGTGTTTAAAGTTTAATGTTGACAAATATAGGTTAACAGGGGGGAAGGGATTGTTAGCGATGGGTCTTAACAGCCTCAATACTAGCAATGTTACTAATCAGGTCGACCTCCACGTGGTTCCCCCCGGAAACCATCGTGGTTACTTCTCGTGGAACTCTTCACGATGGGCTAACTGACCTGCTGTCATCGTCATCTATCATCTATCACTGGTGCCCCGCCAGCGTATACCGTTAGAGCAGGCAGGGTTACTATTGCATTATCACCCATTAAAAAAAAATAGGTTAACAAATATATACGTTGGTATAGAATCAAGGTACAACTAAATAACTATTTATTGCTAATAAGCAACATTGTAAATGTAGATATCCGCTTATCTACGAGCAATTAATTTATAACTACTTATGCAAATGTGTTTACAATATTCAAACAAAATAATTACATTGTGTAAATATAACTAATATGCGTTTAGGTAATGTTTTGGTTGAAACGAAAATAAATATAACAACTAATCGTCACCCTCGACTTTGGCCGTGATATCGGCTGACTAATAGTATGGGTATGGCATATCTCGTGATTATTGGTTAAGTCTTTTTAAAATTTTGTTAAATGTTGTTTTAAATTTAGAGTTAACAAACAAAATTTACTTTCACATTTATAATAATACTAACTTTTACCCGTGATTTCGTCCGCATTATATTCGTCCGGAATATATTTACTGACTGGGATGTTTTTATGAACTTAGAATGGCAAACAAGCTGACAGCTCACCTCATGGAGGGGGGGGGGGGGTTGTATGTAATGCGGAGTACCAGTCTCATTGCTAGCAATGTAGGGTACATTGCTAGTAATAGGACTGATACTCCGCAGCTCGGGCAGGTTAACCTCCTAGTAATCGCCGTTGGAAATCATCGTATTGGATTCTAGGTGTATTCATCACGATGGGTTAAGTGATCTGCCTTTTCATTCTCACCTATCACCCTTCACTGGTGCCCCGTCATCGTATACCGTTAGCGCAGGCGAGGTTACTATTTCATTATAATACATTCAAAAATAAGTCCACCTGATGAAAAATGGCGACAGTCGCCTATAGACATGAGCAGTACCATAAACATTACAATGTATAATATGCCGCTCATGATACCCTTCATGCGTTGTCATTCTACCTCTGTACCCTGTAAGTTCATTGGCACATACCCTCTTTCAAACCAAAACTCAGCTATGCAAATACAATTGCTCCTTTTAGTAAATTAGCCTATATATTTCTCCATCCCATATAGTATTTAAACCTATGTTACATACCGATTACATTACCGTTATATACCGATTGGTTAAAGCGCTAAGAGGTAACAAATAAACTCAGTTTCACGTATTAGTAATGATTACTAGTAGTAGTAGTAGGAATGTAATTTAAGAAATCTATATACAACATATAAAGAGCAGCTGTACATAACTAGTTTGGCCATAAATATTGTTGAATTAAAAATTTTAAATTTGCTTTGGTGGGGCGGGTCTTATCAAGAAGTCACAAAACTACATTTTTGTGAAAAAGGAGTGAAAATTTCAGCCAAAGTGTATCAAGATACTCTCGTAAGTCTTGGATCGTGTTGTGAAATCTCTCAGCAATACACTTTTTAAAAATATACCGTGGACATTTCCTGCAGGACTCTGCACCTGATCACAAGGCACGAACTACCCAAGCCTGGCTTGAAACCAACGTTCCGGACTTTATAAGAGCCTAGCCTAGCTAGCCCTCATCTAGCCCAGGCCTCAACCCTTTATGACTTCAAATTATGGTCAGTTTTATAGGATATGGTCTGCTCTAAACGACACGGTAACATCGAGTCTTTTAAAAAATCTTTAGAGCAAGTAGTAGCGAAATTTCTCTTCGAATCAGTGCGTAAATCCATAGATTCGTAGCCAGACAGATTAGAGGCCTGTATAGAAGCCAAAGGTGGCCAGTTCGAATGGAATATTTTTTTATTTTTTGCTGAGACATTAATAAATATGTATGTATAAATTTTAGTAATATTACATTACTTCATAAAAAAATGTATTTTCGTTCTTAACAGAACTTATGGCTGGACCAGACATATATAACTCGCGTAAAAAAAAATAATTGAAATAATTCAAATATTTAATTTTCATAAAATAATTAAATAAAATTCATAAAATAATTGGAATAATTCAATCAAATTGATAACCTCCTTTTTGAAGTCGGTAAAAAAGTTTGAGCGCTTTGAAAACCATAATGATAATACTCACATTCATTTCAGAATTAATACTACTATTGCTCAAGAATCGAAATCGCAGCCTATTTTTCACAGATACTATGAAATATGGCGAATTGACATCTCTTTCTCCTATTAAATCACAAAGTCTCAAACATTTGTTTTTCTTCATCACCGTAAAGACATCTCCATTGGCGATACAATTAGTCCCAACGTTGATGGGGAAGCGTATTACAATCAGTAGCGACTTGTCGCCATCTGTCGTAATATCTACTATGCATTCGTAGTCGATCTCACTTAGTGTTCGTAATACCTAAAGTAGAAAAAAAATTTATATACCTACTTTAAATTTTATTATAACAGACTGATAATTGAAGAATAATGAGGGTAGATTAATATACTCACGTGAGTCATCACGTGTATGTACTTACAGGTAAACGCGATGAAAGGCGAACCCCACTAAATATAATTATTATATAGTTTCGCTTTAGATGCATTGCAAGGAATAATGTGTAAATGATGAATGAAGCTATGTAAGTTTACTGGCTGCGTCTTCAAAAAAGTTTATAATTCAATACGCTTTATAATTTTAGTGTATAAATATATTGTAATAATATAATAATTAAATAAAGATAACCTATGTAAAATATCATGGAAATATAACGCAATCTGGTGGCTCCTGTCTAGCGCTGGTCAAATGTTGTGAGACAAGACATGGTAGCCTCGCAATGTCTCTGCATCGATCAAAAGAAAAGGTTGAATTGGAAGGTAGATTTTGATTGCAACAGCAGTACCTTAGATAGTCACTATTGTCTATACCACTAACACATGGTAGAGGAAGGGATTGTTAGTAATGCGGACCACCGATTCCATTGCTAGCAATATGGCCAAATTCCAAGTGGTCCCCCTTGGAAACCAATATTGCTGAATCCCAGGTGTATCCATCACGATAGGCTAACTGACCTGTCTTTTCATGCTCACCTATCACCCCTCACTTGTACCCGCCAGTGTATACCGTTAGTGCGGGCGGGTTTTCCTATTTCATTATCATCTTATTAAAAAAAACTAGCACGTGGTAAATATAACACGATGTTTGCACAGAGATTCTACGACTTTCTTAAGCCTTACTTTTATAAAACGATTCACTTAAAAATATCAATTTACCTTCTCAATATATATAAGGTCGACAACGTGCATGTGGCATTCCTAGTGTTGCAGGCTATAGTTACCATCAGACGGGCTGTATGCTTGTATGCCACCTTTGTGGTATAAAAAAAATGTGTAATTAATCTGTTACAAAGTAACTTCAGTATATATATAATATATATAATATATAATATATATATATATATATATATATATATATATATATATATATATATATATATATATATATATATATATATATATATATATATATATATATATATATATATATCTTTTTCGTTTATTAACAACCTAGTCAGATCAGCCTAATAACTTTTGAGTTCTTCACTGTACGAGTATGAATTCCCATAAATCGTTCCATGCCAGGATGGAGACCTAATGACTTGTGGTACGAGTTCTTCAGACATACAGTTCAGACACCAGTTCTCCACAACTGTGTAGTATCTATGGTATTATTCTAAATATTTTATTGTAAATGTAATAGTTTTTGTTATTAGAGTCGATATTTTGTTACTAAATTATTGCAGGGCTCGTTTTTATTTGGGACAAAGATAAGATTTTTAATAACAGTGATAGGTGTGCCATAACAATACACCTTATTAGGTCAACTTTAATTGTCGCTAATACATTCGTTAACATTGAAGGCGACTGTCAATTCAATTATACAAATATACTAATCATGACACATTAAATCACAGATAGAATTTATTATATTTCTTCCTTCTCTTTCAGATTTCTTAATAAATAAAACTATAATTGGTAATAGGGAAAACTTGTATTGAAAATATCCGATGATGGGAACGAATGTGTATTATTTATATTTATATTATATTTACCAGAGGGAGACTTTGTACAAAAGTCGATTGCTTGGGTACCTCTGTCCCATTCGTGTTTCAACCGTGAAGCAGTTGTGTTTCCATGGCTGTGTTTCGGATTGAAGGGTGGGATATGGCGTGAATTTACTGGGTACAGAAGAATAACATCTGAATCCTCAGGAATGGCAACGCATGGGAGGTATCATGGGTAAAACAGTATACTCTGTTATGTCCATGGTGCTCCTCATGTTTATAGGCGACGGTTACCATTTTACATCAGGTGGGCCGTCAGCTTGTTTGTCATTCTAAGTTGTATAAAAAAAGTAAATCTTCTTATTACTGGTTATATACTAATATATTAGATATATTAAGTAAAATAATTTTCCATTCTCCTACTTAGCAATCATTAAGTTATCAGGAAAATAAACAGCCTTGTTCATTAGTGAACTATGCAATATGTAGAGATAAGTCTAAATAAATAAGATAGATTAATGTGCAATAATTATTATAACATTGTATATTATTAAGTATAATGAGTGTTAGACGATAACAGATTTGTGACAATATTTTAATTAACTGCAAATAAGACTAACCAGAGTGATAGTGTCAGACATGCCCATTCCAAAGGACAAATCGTATCGCAAGTAATGAGAGAAAGCGCAGTCGTTACTAATATCCCAAGGTCGGTACAAAAGCAGCAAGCCATTTGAACTTACTAGACTAAATAAATATGGAAATATGCACAAGATACTCTGTCCAAACATGCCTACTATTTATTGGTGACATCACTCATAATCTACGTGGCTGTGAAAGTGTATATTTACTTATGTGTATATTCAACTAAGCAAAATTTATGTAACAAGATATAGGTGCAAAATTTGGGACAAAAAATTATAATATAAAATGTTATTGTATTATATACAAAACAGTAATTTCGTGAAATTATTAATTTTTTTTTATCAACAAGTAAATTTCTTTACAAATATAATATTGATAGGATTTTTCCTAAAGTTTATCCTCTATCAATAGGTATTTTCTAAGAAGCGAGGAAGAGGAGTTTGTTAAATAATACCGTGGCCGAGTGCCACTATTTGTATTGCTGGGTTAAAGTAAGATTGTAGGTATATCTACGTTTACCCAAAGGTATTTTTTCTTCTCGCTAATCCATAGATGCAGTCGTGAGTATTTTTTCCTCACCATCCACGGATCGTCAGTTACTTTTTTCCTCTACAGAAATAATTAACATTACTGAGTTCTCAATTAAAAACTAGTAAGTAGGAAACATATTAACATTATAAATGCGAAACTTTGTAATGATGGATAGATGTTTAGATGTTCGATTTGTTTGATTTATGAAAGAATAACATTCATGCAAAATTATTCAATAGATTTGAATGAAATTATGAAACGGATAGGTTATATCCTAATATAGCACCTATTGAATATTATAGATATTCGCGCGGACGGTCAAAACCGATACAGCTAATTCTTAAATAAATTAACTATGTTTAAAGATTCATTATGTGTATGGGAGGTAGTGAAGCTACAAGCAATATAACAAGTGGCAAACATTTAAATAGTAGGTATAAAACGTAGGTTATACAAAATAAAAAGGTGAAGATTTGAAAAATACATCATACGCATCCATCAGACCTTGATTTTGTCTAATGAGACTAAAAAAGCATTGTCATCTAGATTCCTATATAAAAAGATTATTATTTATTTTAATTGGCATACTATATCTTGTGGTGCATAATTACATCTACCTTCAGTATTTCGCTCATTCAAATTTTTTTCTCACAAAGCTATAAATTAGGCTGTTGTAGCATCGTGATTGCCCTTGATTATAATGTTTTGTCACAATTATAATTAGTAGTCACAGTCAGGATTGCTTATTACGTAGGTACTATTAAGTAGATAAAAAATATAAAAACTAGCGATTTCCTGAAGACGTCGTCATATTGCTAAATTCGCATTTAGATTATATTGAAATGGAGACTTAAAAATGTAAACAACTTTTCTATAGGTATACTAGCAATTTAATAACAAGCTAGAGAAAAAACTAGCTGACTCTCACCATGATTTAAAGCCTGCACGTTTTACAGCTTCGAACATACTATCCTTCTAGATATATACCACAGAGGCTGTAGACTCTGGATTCCAGGTTTTTATGTGGTATACTTAAGCTGTAATCCAAACGATGACAGGTGTTCTTACCTAGCACATATTGGCGGGTCAGGTAGGGGTCTCGAGGCGAATCGGAGGCAACAACCTTTGGATCACTGGGTTTGAATCCGATTTAACGGCGTGGCGTGGCATCTTACCCTATATGGTATTGCAGCGTGAATGGGCCGGCTCCATCGAGGAAGTACTACATCCTTACAAACTACCGACGCTAAGTGACCGCACTTTTAGTGCGACTTCATTCCGTATGGTGAGTGAGGGAGTTCGGATACCTATCCTATATCCATCCCTGTTCTGACCCTAAAATCCTTCCCCCAATCCCGTCCTCTCAACTACTCAACTATGGCATAAAATTTAGAAAAAATAAAACTTTCCGCTCATTACAACCAAGAGAAACAGAGCAAGTTTTCTTCGGCATCACCTTCGCTCAATATGGCACTTTGCAACATTAGCACCACCACGTAAAAACGGAGAAACGTGAGAAATCACGGAAATATAAATATCCACTCTGAACGAAACCTCATATCTGACCTATCTGGGCTATAAGCTAGTATATTATTTTATTCTGTGTGCGGGTATATGCGCGTATGTCAAAGAGGATATCTGCTGTCACCGCCTTGGAATACTTTAAAGCAACTGCAACGATCACCCTCGTATCTATGCATGTCTATACAGGTCCCACAGCGGTAACACGGAAACCGAACAATTTATTAAGCACGCCCAAATGGCTACAGGTTCTCTGCTCGAAAATGTGCCCTATGTGTCGAATGTGTGTGTGTGTGATTCTTGGCGACTTTAATGCCCAATATGTCGAATGGCTTGGTCCGCGTACAACCGACTATACGGGAAGATCTGTTCATGACTTTGCTTTAGCTTATAGCATGACGCAGTTTGTTTCCTCGCCTAGGTGAATAACTGATGTGTTGGACCATTCACTTATACTGCTGGACCTTCTGCTGACCACGCACCTAGACCACTATGTGATTTCCGTCGAAGCCCCGCTTGAATCGTTGCTTCATTCTTTGACGCGGAACGGGGTGCCTCTCACGAGTCAAATACCATCTTGTTCAACTGGTAGACGTCGTATTTGGCACTACAGGCTAGAACATTGGGATGAAATGCAATTGTTTTTCGCATCTTACCCATGAAGGCAGGTTTGCTTCACACTAGATGATCCCGACGTCATTGCCGATTCCATCGTCGAAATGGTACTTCAGGGAATGGAATTATTTATTCCTAACTCTGTAGTGCTCGCTGGTAAGAAATATCAGCCCTGGTATGGAGCCTCTTGTAGAATAGTATCTCGTCTAAAACAGGAATGCTGCATAGCTTGACTAAACTTTTTTAAAGCTGTTATAAAAATGAATCTTTCTGGAAAGGTCTATTACAGGATAGATAAATATATTAATGATAAAAAGGCTTGGTAGAAATAAACTCAAATTAAATTTCTATAAGTGCAAAGTTGCTGACATTGTTTATTTTTTATAATGTTGGTACTTGTTTCTTTTACTGATATATTTAGTATTTATTTTTTAAATGTCATAAATAATTAAAAAAAATAATTATTATATAAAAGACATTTTAATTTTGTAATGAGTGGGTATACTGATTGTCATCTTCAATTTGGTATCGATATTTTTGACATAATTGCGTATCTTGAAACAACTCACTTTAATCTCAGGTTGGTAGTGGCGTGGGGGGTTGGGTTATTAGGCTGTCTATAATATGTTTGAAAACAACGGCTTGAACAACGAAGCATAACGGCTGGCTCGTTGGTCATGCTCATGAACGGGTGCTTCTAGTAGGGACTGATCTGTTCTAGAATACTGTGATTGATTGTAGCTTTCTATTTTTTTTCTAAATTTGTGATGGTCTTTTATCCGTTCATAGTTTTTGTCGTAAACTTTTATTTGAAAAAACCACAGCTGTGGGTGTGTGGTTTCTTGCCCTTTCTTGTCAGCTAAAATGCTCAGTAAACTTGAATTCCGAAATGGGCGGTATATTTGTAAAAAAAAAAATTAATACAAAATGCTTATTATTAAGTTTACTTGAATGAAAATTATTTATTATAATTATTAGTAATGCAATTACCTGTAATCCACATAATTAAAAATAATGGCTAGCTAAACAGGCTCCTCTTCCATTGGCATTGACTCTGCTCAACGGTGTCATGAGTTATGATTCAGTACCTGGACTTCGATATACTTGTAAATATGTTAACTTTCGCAGATAGGCAATAATTTATTTAGAAAGCATAACTCCTAAGCGTGATTCCTAAGCGAGTGATTTGGGAAACAGTCAAGCTTGCTTAGTAATAATAATAAATAAATTACCTGTCTTCTATTCGTGCTTATGTTGGCAAGCAGTTGTGCTTGTGTATGGTTGTTTCTTTTAGAAGAAGGGAAAATGGCAGTGCAATGATAAAATATGGAATCGTAATATCTTAGTTGTCAAGAACGGCAAACCAAGAGGGCACGGAAAGTCCATATGTTGTATCTATAGGCGACGGTTACTATTTTCTAATAGGCTGTCAGCCTATCTGCCATTCTAAGTGGCGTTTAAAAAAATATACAAGTCGGTAAAAATTTTTATATAATTTTATTAAACTAGCTAGCTTTTTCTTGTTTCTTCGTACCCGTAGATTTTAAAAGTAGGAAAACCAATAAAATTTACTACTTCTAGATAGCGTATCAAGATAAAACATACACCAATTCTTAAGTTAGATCTTCAAGAATATAACTGTATGCAATTTGGCGTAGTAGTTTTAACTACATGTCGGAACACATATACTAGATTTAAAAAAAATGTTTTAGCAGCTATTGATTTTATTAATAACCTTTATAGATTTTTTTATAACACAGAAGGCAAACAAGCACACGGCTCACCTGATGGTAAATGACCACCGTCGACTATGATCACCCGCAACATTAGAGGCATCGCAGATATGCTGCCGACCTTTTAAAACGGATATGCTTTTTTCTTGAAGGTTATGATGTCGTATCAGTTCGGAAATACTGCTGCTGGAAGATGATTCCAAAGAGTGGTTGTGCGTGGAAGAAAGTGCCTTGAAAAACGTACGGTAGAGGACCGCTACTCATCCAGATGGTTGGGTTGGAACTTTAGTTTGAATGTGGTCTATCGGGAGAAGCTGGTATTGTGGCACTCCTGCCCATAGTTGAGAACAGTATTACATATGTGTCATGACTTGAGTTTTATACGATTTCAAGCGGTGAACCGGCGTGAAATACCGTCTCACTCTATTGAGTATTCCTAAATTTTTGGAGGCCATCTTAGTCTTTTCCTCCAGATGACCGCAAAACTGGACGTCGCTCGATATATCAACGACAAGGATCCCTAGACTCGACTTATTATCAAGGAAAGTGCCCTGAAAGCGAGGAGATACGACAAACGGCGTCTTTTTTGCGGTTAACAATATATATCTTCTATGTACATAAATCGACTAGTTAACATTTCACTATATTAGTAAGAATTAAGATTATATTAGTAGATATCTTATTATTTGTTTATATAATATTAGTAGGTAAGATTAATTAGAGATCGTAACAACCGATGTTACGACCACAATATAAATCTATAAAACATATACCTAAGTAAGTTTTGAAAAGTCGTCTAGAGCTAAATTTTACTCATATATATTCTACTCTACTATGTAAATAATTTGTTTTGTTATTCCTATAAAGTAGATGCTTGGCATTTTGTTATTACACCATGTCAAAGGAACTCTTGAAAAAAAAATCAATTAAGCTTTCTATAACTGATTGAATAATTATATCCTTACATTAATATTCAGTGATTATTTTATAAAAACCTTCTGTTACGATGTTCGTCGACGCTAATCTCAGAAACCGCTCAATCGAGTTTAATGAAATTATATTTAAAATTTCATTAAACTCGATTGAGCGGTTTCACGTATTTACGTGTTGTTTATTCTAACTTTAGAGATAGTTTTTTTTATCTCTATAGAAGTAAATGGATCGAACAATGACAATAGGGGATAGTTGTATAAGCTAGTAGGATTATGAATCGAATGAGGTCGATTTAGAAGCGCCATTTCTCTAATTTTATCTCTAAAATTAAAATTTAAATTTAATATCACTGCAAACTTATTACATTTACTTATTACAAGGACCAATATGATCTCATTTTCTAATAGTCCCAAGTCCAAATTATTATTATTATAGTATATGGTGGTCTATAAAACAGTAATTTCGAGAAATTATCAAATTAAAATATTAAGTTAAAAGAGAGGATTAGATAAATGGCGCCTCAGAATCAACCAGAATTCTACCTTAATTTATGATTCGCACCTTCCTTCACGATAGTAGGTAAGTCTGTCGGTTCGTTTCGCCATTCACTACACCAGCGATCATGTAATTTGTCTTGATCTTGGCACCATAGTATTAAAAGAGACGGTTTGCGTGCTGGTTGTGTGCAAACAGCTGTTCAATTGTAGTATCGGACATTCTATTATTTATACCATCCGTGTTCTATCTCTAACCTGTTGCCATAATAAATACAAGTGAGTATGTGTGTATACAATACTTGCTTATTTATTATTAGAGGTCTTGAAAAATAAATAGTTCTCCGACTTATACTATGTCTTTACTATTTTAGATAATAAGTAAGTAAAGTTTGATAATTTATTCAGCAGGAATAAATAATCGCACTAAACAATTTCTTAGTATTTTAGTAGACTCGATTCTCTCCGAATGATGTATGCTCTTAAACAACTTCTAGTAAGTATTAAAAATACAGAAAATGTATAAAAGAATAATAGCTCCATACCATTACAAAGATTCTGAGTTAGTGCTAAGATATATACTAAAGCAACAATAACTCAATAAATATCAAAAAGTGGACCTATTCTATTGTACTTAGTTACTTACTGTTAACATATTTTACATAATAGAAACATTGTAACGGAATTAATTTCTTAAGATAAAATAAATAATGCAAAATTTATTGTGTATTATATGAAATAAATTTGTATAGATAAGGCTCTGTCATGCGATGTAGTGAAAGTTAAAGCTTGACAAGATATTATGTATTTTTTTTTTATTTTTGAAGTAATATCTGTAAGTATTTTTTAATTATTGCATAAAATTCTTACTTATTATAAATATAATGTGGCCGATTTTTAGTTACATTTCGGCGTTGTAAGTAATTGTCGTGGCGTTATAACACCTACTTGGAATAGGCTACTTTTAATCCCGGTCACGCGAACTGAGATGAAATCACGGATATTGCTAGAGTTGCTCGAAATTTAAGTTCATAAGTTATTTATTAGTTAGTAATTTTAATGTCATAAATTAATAAACAGGTTAAAAAATATCTTCTGACATGTTTATCCGATGGAATTTGTACCTACATCTCTACTACCCGTATGTATATGTGAAAATATATAGGTAGTAAAATATACTAAATATAAAATGAAAATGTTCCAACTGCAAGTATTCCTTCCGTTGTGTAACTGGGAACATACTTAGTCCGAATAGTTAAGAGATACGGGTTTGAATTCCATCGGATTGACTCGAGGTTATATTGGAAATGCAGAGTTATGGATTAAAAATATTTTCTAATTCTAATTATATTTATTCAAACAGAAGTCTGTTACCTATTTACAAGCACTTTGAAATAGTAATTTTTTAATGTAGGGGATTTATTTATTCATTGCATTTGGTTTTCTTTGGTCATATCGCTCTGAGGATGACCTTAAGACCTCGTTAATTCGTCACAACACTGAAATTATTTTTTTAAACATTATATATTTAGGAACTTTTGTTCATTTTGGGTACGCAGTCCTATTAAACTAATTTTGAGATATATACGTGACTTTAAATTTTAAAAGATTTGTATGATTCCTTCCTTTTACAATTTAGTTCTAAAAGTAGTCAAGTTATACATACATATGTCAGTAATGGTTATCTATATAAATACGGAAAACAAAAACATTCTTTCTGTGGTTAAATACTATATTAATAACATAAAAAAACAAAATTTTGAGATTCAGTCCATTAAACTGAAAACTTTTGTAAATATCTTTTTTTTCTAATACGTAAGCATTTTAAAAATTTTGTAAGTGATTTTTATGGCCAATTTTCATACTGTAACATAATTTATGCAATTAAGAATTGATGATTATTATATCAGTTATATATAAAAAGTTAACGGTTTAGTGTTGAACATAGGTCTTCCCCATTAGCGGGAATGATGTTAATATTTGCAACACTGGGCAGAAGGGTTGGCAACTGCAATTAGCTTTTAGTGATATTTTAAGAGGGACAATGCTGCCTATCTTTCGAAGTTTTCCCTCTTGAGACATCCATGAGACAGAAAGGGGTGGCCTATTTTATGCCTGGACTACGCGGCAAACATCAATGGTTACCAAGCAATATATTATTCTTTTACTTTAACATCTAACAAGTACAGCTACAGAATTAGTGACCAATATTGAAAGTTTTTAACAGTTACGTGATCGTATTATACTTGAATATCATTATACAGTGAGTGTAAAAAGTATTCGTACACCTAGGGTTATAATAAAAAAAATACGAATTTGATAGACTTTCCTCTATTTTTTTAATTTACATCAATACTGTTAAATAGTTTAACATTCCCGCACTTTGTTTATGATAATTTTTGTTTTATAAAAAAAAAATTATACAACATAAAAATATTTTTACGTTAACTAAGCAAATAATGACAAACAAAAAGTATTCGTACATTCATTCTTTTTTAAATAAAATTCTGTATAAATCATTTATTCAATCGAATTTTTCATATATCTACAATGCCAAGGTCATTTTTAATACGTAGGTATAGATATTAGACGTTTTAGTTGCACTCGTGACAAGTATAGACGTGTTTAGTTACAAAAATGGGTCGTAAAGCAAAAGAAACGAGTGAAGAGGGGAGAAAAATAATTATTAATTTGCATAATCAATGTAAATCATTATGTGAAATTGCAAAATTTGTCAATAGACCACGTTCAACCGTACAGACTGTAATTGATCGGTTTTCTATTACTAAAACACTAAAAAACAAACCCAGAGGTGGGGCGTCCATCAAAAATCACGCCTCGATTGGATCGGAAAATTTTAAATTGTGTAAAAAAAAATCCAAAAATTAGTGCCCCTCGAGTCTTACAAGAAATTAATAATATCAATGATTGCCATATTTCTGTCAGTACCGTTCGGAACGTATTACGTAGTAACGATTATCATGGAAGAACTGCGCGTAAAAAGTATTGGGTAAATGATATTAATAGAAAAAAAAGATTAGAATTCGCAAAAAATATATTAATGAAAAAAATCATTTTTGGCAAACTGTTATTTACTCAGATGAATCGAAATATAATATTTTCAAATCGGATGGACATCATATGGTATGGAGAAAACCTAATATGGAATATAAGAAAGAAAATTTATGTCCAACGGTAAAACACGTGGTGGGTCAGTATTTGTATGGGGTTGCATGAGTGCTTTTGGGGTGGGAAAACTTGCATTTATTGATGGAATTAGGGATCACAAAACGTATATTAATATTTTAAAAGAGAATCTTCTATCTAGTGCAGCTCAAATGGGTTTTAACAATAATTGGATATTTTTACAAGATAATAACCCTAAACATAAAGCATGGAATACTAAAGCATGGATCCTGTTTAACGCTCCAAAATACCTAGAGATTCCTCTTCAATCACCTGATATTAATATTATAGAGCATGTGTGGGATTATCTCGATAATAAAATTCGAAATCGACCAATTTCGTGTAAAGAAACACTAAAAATTGCGCTTCGCGAAGAATGGGCATTGATACCGTCTTCTTATATTTTCAAACTAGTTGATTCGATGCCGCAGAGACTCCAAGCTATCATCAATGCTAACGGTGGTCCAACAAAGTATTAATATTTTTTTAATATTCATTTACTTACAAATTTTATAAGTGTACGAATACTTTTTGTTTGTCATTATTTGCTTAGTTAACGTAAAAATATTTTTATGTTGTATAATTTTTTTTATTAAAAAACAAAAATTATCATAAACGAAGTGCGGGAATGTTAAAATATTTAATAGTATTGATTTAAATTAGATAAATAAAAGAAAGTCTATCAAATTCGTATTTTTTTTATTACAACCCTAGGTGTACGAATACTTTCTACACTCACTGTATATTCTGTGGCCAAAGGCATGTGTGAATGTGAACACGACGCGATGTTTTGTGATTGCGTAAAGTTACTCGTATTTGCTGCTTGGTTACCATTTGTTTTGAAAAGATGGCGTTAATCGCCAAGCTCTGTAAAGCGATCGAGGAACTTATAATGAAATGACAGTAAAATTATTTATATTATACATAACATTTATTTTGACAAAATTTCTTACAATAAGGCAATACATCTCTGTTTATTTATTGTAACTAAAAATATAATAGTTATGTTATACAAGTATCTACAAAGCACGTTCATGCATTATTCATATGGAAATGTATCAAGTATATTTTATTAGAGTGAAATCGTAAGAGACAAGAACTCTGTTCTTTTAATATTAGTTATATCTTATGTTTAAAAATTATCTAAATTTATATCTTTAAGTATTACGTACATATACATACATTTAGTTATTTATCTATCCATCCATCTACAAAAATGTTAACGGAAATGTCTTATTATTAAAACAAAACACTCTTGGAGTAATCAATAGATTTCAAAAAACGATGCCTGGCATAAATGATACTTCAACCATGCCCAAGGTCTGCTTCTACAATGATATAATAAGCATACCTGCCTACTTAAGACTTATTTTAATAGCAATTTAAAAATAATAATGTGTACATACATTGTCATGTCATTTTTAAAGTTTCTTATCTTATTTTTAATTTATTGTGGCTTTTTTTTAATTTACCTCGTAGTTAAAGTATCTAATGATGAGATGTATGCGAAACTTTTAAATTGTCTCATGTTTTCAATTTTAGACACATTATGCAAATAATATAAAAAAATAACACGCATTTTTCTTAGAATTACAGCAATAGTAATCATTACGGGTGATTTGTATAATAATAATAATATTAATCACAGCTTAAATCGGTGACATATTCGAATGAAAGTTTTTATTCACAAATATAACATATAAAATTAAATTAACATATTGCCTATTTTAATTTGAAGGTAACATAGAACTCTTTCAACGCACTTCAACTCTAACGGTTCAACTACTAACTAACATTTCAACTTGCAAATCCGCTGAGCTATGTCGGTAATTTTGGTTCTTTGGTGAATAGTTTCGTTTCGGATTCGATTCCTCAGAGAAACTCTAAGCATAGCTCTTCCCATAGCTAAGATATATACTAAAGCAACAATAACTCAATAAATATCAAAAAGATAAATTAGCATAGCTAGTTGAATGACTTTCACTAGAGGACTAGTCTTATCGCAAATGTCCACGTTTCGGTATCGTAAGTCATGATAAATAGGGTAGCATGCACAGGTTACAGATTTTCGTTTAAGGCTTTATTGTAAAGACGACGAGAAAACCTGGCGGAATTTACCAAAAAACTGCTAAACCCAGCCGTATTCGCCTCTTAATTTCCTTCCTAAAATTATTCTCACTTAAGTGAAGCGTTTTCCTTAAGTAGTTATATTCCGGAACAATTTCAAGAGCAGCTCCATTTATGGCAATCGGTTCCGGATGAACCCGTTCGTTATTACATGACCTTAGTTTTGTCCAAGTTCATTCGACGTTCAACCGTTGTGTTGAGACAGATCAAATAGGATAGCAACTGTGGTAACTCCTTCACCGAATTAACCATGATAATGAAAGTGTACAATATATAATTATCAAAGCCTGTAAGTATATACCAAGGAAAGACTTATCTCACGGGAAGAAACTATTCTTTCATGTGTTGGTAGGTAAAAACTTTAATTTGTATCAATTGAATTCGAAAATAATAGGATTGTATAAAACCGATGTATCGATATACCTATGCATAAAGATGAAACATTTTCGTATTTCAGATATCTACATTTATACCTATGTATCTATAGGTAATTGTTATAAATCATGGACTTTTAATAATTTTTGTTTATGTATTTACAATCGACTTCAAAATATAATGTTTCAATAAATTTTCACTTCATATTAGGTAGATATCTTCTATTCGTAGTCCCTTAATACGGTGAAAAAGTCGACTATTTTATATGGGATATTATTGAATAGGCATTTAAAAATCATCTTTAGCTTTCTCTTGTCATTTTTCATTAAAAAAGACCATTTAGGATGTATACCTAGCTATTAAACGTTGGCTAGCAGCCAGTCTAGCAAATTTTCGATAACAAAGCTGCCATAAGATTTTGAATAATAATAGGTCATTTCAGGAGGTTTGTGAACAATTTTAGACGGTAAACCTATGTATATAATATATATGTTCAACATACTATATCTTAACTTCTGCTTATGAATATATTTTCCAAGGCCTATCACGCAATAGATACTGAATATGTAAGTAAAACATTGTATTGCATCCGGTTCCTGACTATATGATGATTTCCTAGATGAAGTTGATCATATTTTTTTATTTAGATTTTACATGGCATACTATATTCAGGGTTAGACTTTAGGAATGCCAAAAACGAGACTCAAATAAACACATCTATAAAGAACAGTGCGTCCCGAATTCTTATGTTCAGGAAATGTCAAAGTTCAAAGTTCTATTTGTTCCTTACATTATAATAAGAAAAGTTTTTACCACACTGTAAGTAAATTCCATACAGTATGAGTTCTCCATGTCACTCTCTCGAGTTGATCATCAACATCATCATATCAGCCGTTAACCATCCACTGCTAAACATAAGCCTTCCTCATAAGGAAAGTTTTTCCAGTAGTTGCCAAGCTAGACAAGGGATTGGCAACCACAGTTAGGCTTTGTTAACGTTTAAAAAGAGACCCTGTTGTCCATCCCTCGATCATTAAGTTTCCTTAGTCGCCCCTTATGACACTGACGAGATTCGAGTCGATATCATGACGAGAATTAAATACACCTTTTCGAAAAAAAAGCACCAGTAGGTACATATATACATATTTGCGCGTGTAAAAGTAGTTGTCTACCACAACTTTTTGGTATGTATGTATTAATAACTTTTTGGGTGTGTATTAGTATATAATATGTAACAGTTACACCATGATACTAAAATTGTATTAATATGAATATAATTCATTGGTAAAATTCCAATACAATAACAGTATTGGGAAATAAGCACTTAGCAACATAGTCATTATGCCTAGTGGCATTCTGCAGGAAATATGACTGTTTACTTACAAATAGATGACGTGAAAATGACTACACAATTATAAATGTATCCGCTAAAATTGTGGAAATCACTTACGTCACTAATTCTAGTAATAACATTGTATTAAGGGTTCAAATATTCTATGTATTCAAATACGCAAATAGTGATATGAAACATAATAGACGAACCATATGTAAACAGTTGAAAAACTCGGTAACAAAATCATATTACGCATGTACTAGCCATAAAAAAAGAAGAAAAGCCTGCAATGTGCAGTTCGTTTGAATAAACCAACAATTTTGTGGTTATTATTCATTATTTTTATAAGTACTTACTCGTATAAGTATTCCTTAATCTCCTTACTAACTTAAGTTCTTTATCATCATCAAAATCATCCTTTTTATCTTTTCCTATTATTTGATGACATCACATCGTGTTTTCCATTTTGATCTTAATGTTTAAGGAAAGTGATCTTGCAAACTCAATCATACATAGCTTGTAAAATTTTTTTGGGTCATCTTTTACCCTTGTGTCTATCCACTTTTTAATTTTTTTTATTAAAAGACCTCTTACCCAATCTTTAAAAATTACATATAATTGTCTACCCTTATTATTATACTTTACAGTTTTCTATCATTGACGTAGGTACATAAGTAAGTATCACACTAAATATCAATTTATCTACCTCTCAGACTAGGAAATAACACAGGACGTGTTTTGAGAAACCATCTAAGGAACAATTTTCTTCTATTAAATTTACTTGATCGATATCTTAATCTGAATCTGATTTACGAGAAGCCAAGATGTTTCGCAGTAGCTGATAAGAGTAAGCTTGTCTTTACGTTGAATTATAGACATCTTTACATTTCTAAAACAAATTAAATAATCATATTATAGTATTTTTATATGAAATAATATTTATCTATCATTTTCCATTGATGTTTCGTGATCATGAAATAGTGAAACTTAGCATTTCATTATCATGTATTATAAATACGTTATTAATAACAGTCCAAAATGTAAAAAAAAAAATTGTATTATACTCGTAATTAGAATTGTTATTTATTTATTAATTATAATAAGAATTTATAACAAGATATAAAAGAATGTAAGAGAACTCCCACTTAGAGAATTTAAACAATTACAGTAACATTGGTATATTGAAAATACCTTCTATAGCATACAAGATAGATAAGATATATGAATGTCAATTATTTCAAATAGTTATAAGTAAATTTATAAATAAATTTAATTAATTAGCATAATTTAAAAAATCATTAATATTTAATTATAGTTATGAATGAATTTTACAATTAATGTTATAATTTATATAGACTAGTGTAAATGACATTATAATTATTTAAAGTCAGTTGTTTTAAAAATAAATTTTAATTTGCCTGTCTGTGTAGGGTAGAATATGGGAAACTTATTAAATATGTTTTTTTATACAACTTAGAATGGCAAACAAGTTGACGGCCCACCTGATGGGAAGTGGTAACCGTCGCCTATAGACATGAGCAGTACCATGGACATAACAGAATATACTGTTTCGCCAAGATACCCCCTATGCGTTGTCATTCCTGAGGACTCAGGTGTTATTCTTCTTCTTTGTCCTAGTTTTAACATATTCCCTTAATATATTACCTGTACTGTAGCTTACAGTCAGGGTGGGCTTTCCTGCTGTTACTGATTCTATTCCACTTTGCTCGATCTTGTATATCGATATATTGACATCTTCCTCAGACAAAGCATTAGCTTGCATGTCTTTGTCAAAAAATAAAATAAATTACCATAATTATTATATTTTTTATTATATTCCAGATGACGTCACAGAAAGATCCGTCAGGGCATGGTGATACCAATAACAGTGGCCAGTACAGTTATGAAAAAAATTTCCGGACAGCGTTCCCCCAATTTATAGCAGTCAGCGTCAAAAATTTGTTGTTATTAGGTAAAATCAGTTATCAAAGATAAATAATATTACCTACGTAAAATGCTTTAGCATATGGTCCCGACATAAAATGAGTCATCTCTTCCTTTCCAGTGAATGTCGCAAGAGACGACTTAGGGGACATAGTGGTCGAATGATGAACAGCTGCGTCCCTCTTAAAACACCACTAAAGCCTAATTGCAGTTGTTAACCCTCCTGACTAATCTAGGCAACTACTAGCAAAATCCTTCTTATAGGGGAGTCCTATGTTCAGCAGTGGACAGTAAACGGCTGATGGGGAACTGTAAAATATGGTACAATAGTATATTCTATAATTCCTAAGAGGCAGTTGGAGTCATTTGTTAATTGTTATTTTTGTGGTGAATATTATACATGCTCTCTACTTTACATGGCCGGCGAGTATTTTTAAATCTAATGTGACAGAAGGTGAGGTAACAGCTAATTCTCAAATCTAAATCAAATCGCTAATTTGGTTAGTTGAAGGTGTTTTACAATACCGGAGAGTTAATAAAGCAATAATTACAGACTTTAAATTAGACCCTTAGGTACTGGTGAATTGAATGCGAATTTATTCTTAAAAACAATTAAAACAACTACATTCAATTTAGAGTACAGCTTTTTTTGCGTGTACTGGAACAAACATTGATAAATAGACAGGCTAAATAAAAACTGGAAATATTATTTTATTGGCTTCTATTGTTCTTATTTAATAGTTCTCATATTAATAATTGTTAAATATCTTTTACGAAACGACATTATCTAATTACGATTCTATTATATTAAGATAATGGATACTAATATTGTAATTGAGAAAGACAGTTTGTTCGTTTGTTCATTTTAACTTTAATGGCTTAACCAATAACTATGATATTTAGTGTACACTTCCTAATCGTATTTGAGATTCAGAAGGACATAGGTTAATTGTTATTTCTTTCAATCAATATATCATAATTAAGCAGACGAAGTCATGGGTAAATATAAATAAGAAAATAAATTGGTTGGGTTATTAATTAAAGTGGTAATGTGTTTACAAATTATCTTCTATCCGTGTGCAGTTTTTGCGATAATTTTTGTCGTGTGTGAGCACTTTTTTGAATCAAGTTTTTAAGATCATGAAACAATTAATTCTCAAATGTCTGAATCTGTGTTTGGCCTAGCTACATGGCACCGCCGTATCTAATAATAACGTGCAATAACAAATGTTGAACAACGATGTTGATATTCTCGCTGAGTTAACTGTAGCAACGAAAATGCAGTTATTGCGTACTTATATGGAGTTAAATAAATGTTTTATATACAGACTTTTTTCTTAGAACTATCCAATATTTAGGTAACTTGAAATCTTTATCGTCATTATTTTAAAGAGGGAACTGACCGGTTGACCTAACCCCAATCAAAAATATTGGCTCTGGTGTGTAGGGACATAGCACATTTACTAGAGAAAGACTTTGTATAAAAGTCGTTTGTTTGGGTACCCCTGTCCCATTCATGTTTCTACCGTGAAGCAGTTATGTTTATATGGCAGTTTTCAGTTTGAAGGGTAGGATATGGCAGTGAATTTAGGGTACAGAGGAATTTTACCTGAGTCTTAAATTTAATTCTGGCTATAAAAAAGTATGTGTGTAAAGGCGTGTTTTTTACGTGTTTTCGTATTGATGATATTGTTTTCAACCCTTTATTAAAACCTCTTACATATATATTTTTTAATTATCTTCTATGTACCGACATGATCTGGTTACAATTATTCTTTTCAACCAGTTTCAAAATAAGGATGTTCTTAATTCGGTTGTATTTTATTGTTAATTACCTCATAACTCCGTCAGTTGTAAACTGATTTGGAAAATTCATTTTTATCTGAAAGGGTATGCTTACAGATTGATCCCGTAGAATTTTTTTCAAAATCAGTGCAGTAGTTTAGTTTTTAAATCAAAATAACTCGTTTTGCCATAATAGAATTAGATTTTTATTCAACACAATTAAATTATAATAATCATTAGTTAATTTACAATGAATGTATATAGTTTGTCGTAATATATTTTATAGTGACCTTTTTTTGCCTTTAGAGTTTTTCACTCTTACGATCCTGTAGTTCAAATGTCTCGGTACTTCATCCATGCCGTTGGATATAGTTAATGCAGTATGATAGTGAAGTTTGTATAAACGTACTTCTTGCACTCCTGGGAAATAATATTAAAACATTTTGTATTTCTCGTTTCATTATTTTACACCTATTATTTTTACTGTATATGAAGATTTTTAGGGAATATGTGAATAATGAATGAAAACAAGCATGTTAATCCTTTAAATTTAGGTAAAAAAAAACAATGCTATCCCTTTTTGTTTGAGTGGTGGAATTTCCAATGTTTTTTTATACTAATGTTTCCACAGCATTTCTTTTGCTTGAAATAGAATTTCTAGAAAATCTCATTTTTTAGAAATTACAAAAAGGTAATATGGTAATATTACAATGGTCTCACACATTTTGTCATTACTGACGTGTAACAGTCATTACAAAAGTTACGATAAAATATTTTTTTAATGTGTAATAATATAAATGCTTATGTCAATTATTAGACGTTAATTCGATTGTAATACACATATTAAATGTAAATTCGTTCAATTCCCGTTGTGCATATATTATATAATTATATAGTAATGCTTAATTATAATTTCAAGTTTTAACCTCTGTAGTTTAGGTTGTGCGTTGATGAAGCAGTTAGGTAAATTTGTTTATAATTTTATATGTATAGATATAGTATAAAACCTTCAAATCAACTCATAACACCGAAACCTCCACATACACTGTACACACAAAATATGTACCCCAAATAGGAGAGTTTCATGTTGATCATTCATTTATTTATTATAGACAAAATCAACAATGTCGTAGATTGTTTATCATGTTATTATCTCTATTTCAGGTTATGGCATGACCCTGGGCTTCACAACCATTCTTATACCAGCCGTGGCAAATCCAATAGATGGGGAAGTGCTACACTTAACACACAATGAATTGTCTTGGATAAGTAAGTATCTATACTCATGTTTATATTATTGTGTTTGGATAACATCAATATACTATCTCAGTTTATTATTTACTAAATTATATGTCCATGATCTTTTTTAGCTAGATTAGTTTCATTATTATCATCATATCAGTTTTTAACTGATCACTGGTGAACATAAGCCTACCCTCTGAGAGGTTCACCAGAGGGAGACTTTGTACAAAAGTCGATTGCTTGGGTACCTCTGTCCCATTCGTGTTTCAACCGTGAAGCAGCTGTGTTTGCATAACTGTGTTTCGGTTTGAAGGGTGGGATATGGCGTGAATTTACTGGGTACAGAGGAATAACACCTGAGTCCTCAGGAATGGCAACGCATGGGGGGTATCATGGGCGTAACAGTATACTCTATTATGTCCATGGTACTGCTCATGTCTATAGGCGACGGTTACCACTTTCCATCAGGTGGGCCGTCAGCTTGTTTGCCATTCTAAGTTGTATAAAAAAAAAAAAAAAAAAAAAAAAAAAGGTTTTGCCAGTAGTCGCCTCGCTTTGCAAGCGGATTGGGCACTGCAGTTAGACTTTAGAAATGTTTTAAGAGGGAAGCTGCTGTCCATCACTCGCCCTCCCTTAGTTGCTTCTTACAACACCCAAACATCAGGAAAGGAAGAGGTGGCCTCTTCTATGCCGGGACATCTAGAATTACATTGATTTAGGTTACAAATTTCGTGTAGTTGAACCCATCCAGCTATGTAGATGCGATATTTTATTTCTCCTTAAATTTCAAATGGTTCTCCTCCAGAAAGATATGATTTCTTACACATTTGACCAGTCACAAACTTTCGACCGCTTTCACTAAGTTTTATCAAGTAAACAACTGTAGATAGTAAACATTAATACGAGCGACGAACAAAATACTATATGTACCTATGGTTTACAAAACTCTCAAATAAATTACCTAAAATTCTCTAATGTAATTTCATTTTGTCAAATCTTTTCCTACTTCCAAAATTTTTATCGAAATTTGCGAAATCTATACCTAATATGGCAGCAATCCTCTACACTATGAGTTTTAAGGTTCTGTATCAATATGGCTCAAACTCTTATAGTGCGTCTTTGTCCGGCCGTTTATCCATCCGTCCTATTGTTATAGCATTACATCTCAGTAACTAATAATCGTAGTTAGCTCACACATTTTTTAAAAGAAAAAAATAAAAAACTATTGCTAATATAACAGCACCTCTGTACCCTGTAAATTCACGCCATATCCCACCCTTCAAGTGGAGACCAGAGGGAGACTTTGTACAAAAGTCGATTGCTTGGGTACCTCTGTCCCATTCGTGTTTCAACCGTGAAGCAGTTGTGTTTGCATGGCTGTGTTTCGATTTGAAGGGTGGGATATGGCGTGAATTTACTGGGTACAGAGGAATAACACCTGAGTCCTCAGGAATGGCAACGCATGGGGGGTATTATGGGCGAAACAGTATACTCTGTCATGTCCATAGTACTACTTATGTCTATAGGCGACGGTTACCACTTTCCATCAGGTGGACCGTCAGTTTGTTTGCCATTCTAAGTTATATAAAAAAAAAAAAAGTATATCCCTTCAGATAAAAATAATAATTTTTATCAGAAAGTTTCTGAATGATTTACAACTAACAGAGTAATGTAACTAACATGAAAAAAAAATTAATACAACGGAATTGGGAACCTTTTTTGATTGAAAATATGTAAGTTTGAGTTGTAATAAAATAATAATAATTATTAGAAGACTATTTCATATAAGAAACGTGATTTATCACGATGAAGCCCATCGTGATGTACCTACATTTATTCTCACTTATCATCCCGCACTGGTGCCCCGTGAGCGTATACCGATAGCACAGGCGGGGTTACTATTACATTATCATCCCACACACGGGACACAACCTACATAGACAGAACATGTATACCTCATTTCTATTGCCGACGTTTAGACGTAGGTCTATTCATGTCGGTCTATCGTGAATTTAAAATATGTGTAAACAAGCCGAAAGTTTAAAATAAACAAGCAGAAATCAATTTAAGTACATATTAGATTATGTACGGAATCCTCGGCGCGTGAGTTCAACTCGCAATTGGCCGATTTTTTATCTAAAGATATTTATTCATGAAATTGTCGTTATCGTCGTCACAACAGCTGTTCAATGTTTGTTAAGTAAGTCACTGACTGACTTCGATAAATAATATCATTGCTTTAGGTTAATGTATTCAAAACCCGGTCTAGGGTACGGTTTGACCTTCATATGAATGTACATTCAATATGCGTTATCTTAACATATACATACGAACTTGACATTCTTACTTTATTCATAAGAATAATATTTTATCATATTTGTGTAATATAAACGGTCATTTGTTCTGTAATTGTCCTATTATCCATCGAAATCGTATATTCCTTGAAACAAAATAGAATTTTTTAACGAGAAAGATTTTGTACAAAAGTCGCTTAGGTGCGTCTGTCTCATACAACTATTCAAAGATACTGCCGTAATACTGATTTCAGATTGAAGGGTGGGACGTAGATAAAATTACAGGGTACAGAGACATAACACCTTAGTCCTCTAGAATGGAAAATCCTTAAGAAGCATCGGCGACACAGTATACTTTACTATGTTCATGGTATTGTTCATCTTTATGATAGTCACCACTTTCCATTAGATGAATGGTTTGCTATTTTAAGTTACATAAAAAAATTGTAAAATATGTCATTGCTTTTAAAATCGTATTTTGAATATTTGAGGGGGAACATTTCAATGATATTGGGTGTTTATCTCATTTCATGAAGTATTTGATGACCTCGTTATTCAAAATCAGCGTTATGGGAAAAAAAACTTACATTGCACCACATGACTATTACTACTGTGTTTTGACTCGTTATTATTTTACCTTGTGATGTTCCACGACCTTTTAAATGTGGAGGTTAAGCTTATGGCTTCGCATGAACAAGTTTCTTTAGAAAAACGTTTAACGAACTCCTAAATTGTTTAATCCTCGGGATTAGCAACGCATGAAAGATACGACACAATATAAAACAAATTGCTCTTTTTACCCTTCTCTAGTAAACGATCATTCAACGGACGTTTGCAATGTTTGGACCGATAAAAACCTCTGTAACAACTACAAATCAATTTTTTTACATTTAATTTAAACAGTATCTTCTTAGGTACTTTCATATTTCAACCCTTTCATAATTTATATTCAATTTTCATAATCGGACTATTCAAATAATAATATTAGTATTATAACTCAAGTTATGGTAAATTTTGCGTCAATATTGTTAGGTAGTTTTACAGATTTCATAATCAATGAAATAATTCTACAAAATCATGTTTGTGTTTCAGGTTCAATTAATTATATTATAGTACCGTTTGGATGCGCTGTGTCTGGGATAGTGACGTCACCGCTAGGACGCAGAAGAGCCATGCAGGTCGTTAACATACCATTCTTTGTGGCATGGTTATTGTTCCACTATGCAAGTAGCACGGCATATTTATATGGTGCTTTAGTGCTGACGGGCTTGGCTGGTGGTGTATTAGAAGCGCCGGTAAGGTATCTGATGAAATTTCTAAGAATTCGCTATGTATGCTGATAGGAAATATTTTTGTATACAATAATATGGTATTGTTATTAGGATCTTCTACATATAAAAAATAATCGGTTTACTACACAAATAATTTAAAAGGCTGTTTACAGTAGCAGTATTTAACAGAACAAGTAATATATTGTAATAAAATATATGACTTTAAATACCTTTTATTTTTAATAAAATATATTGTATTTTATTTTGTACTTTAGACATAGACAGTTGTTAGACACGCTTTTGCAGTAAGACGTTTATACATAAAACACCTGTCTATAGCAAGTTTCAATATTTTGTGAAGAGGCGGTCTGTATTCATCAATTTATTAACATGTTTATAATTGAAACTAACCAACTCACTTGAAATTCCTTAATAAAAATTTCCTCCGGACTACATTTTCTGTAAAGTTTGATTTGTTGAATTTAGACTTGTAAGGTGAAATATACGACAGTAACAAAGATTTTTTCTATAAATGTAGTCTAATTCTACAAAAAAAAAAAAATGCAGATCACGTCGTGTTACGCAATTTGGCAGCAACATTGTCAGATGGTCGACTAGTTACACAGACACGGAGTATACTAATTTGAAGATCAGGCAATTGGAGTTATTGTGAACACTCATTTATTCATTTACTGCCATATTCCCAGATGAAAATTGACGTACATATGGGGACCGTACATAAGACTGTATTCAGCCAAATTCACTCCGTCAGTGGTAAATCGATTAGGATTTTTTTTTATCTGAAATGATATACTTACAGATTGTACTTACATTTTTTCAAAATTTGTTTAGTACTTTAGTTTTGAAATCAAAACAACTGGTTTTGTCATAAATGAAGTTGGTTTTTGTATTTTATATAATGAACACAGTACAGTATTATAATAAATTATACCTAAATTGAATTTAGGTGTTGACATACGTAGCTGAGATCACCCAACCACATCTCCGCGGCGCCCTCACTGCCACCAGTTCTTTGTGCATTATCCTTGGAGTATTTACCCAGTTCCTGTTTGGTTTGTTCCTCTATTGGAGAACAGTTGCCTTGGTTAACATAATTTTCACGGTAAGCAGGAGTTAAATTTTATTATATCTAATCACAAATTTTCTTGAAACCTATAAAACTAATACATAACAGTTATTAATTCGTTATTGTTTTTATAATCCTTGAGTTTGCTTCTGCGTGTCGTCCCAACATAGTATAGGCCACCCCTTCTTTGCCCGTGATTGTCGTAAGAGATGACTAAGAGAGGGCGATGTTTTAAGAGGGCAGCAGCGCCCTTCTTAAAACATCTCATAAACCTAACTGCGATTGCCAATTCGCCTGCAAAGCGTAGCAACTACTGGCAAACTTCCCAGGGTAGTACTGGCAAACTTCAAAGGGTAGGCTTATGTTCAGCAGTGAATAGTTAAAGGCTGATATGATGAATATATCTTTACCTATTATTTTATAACTATAATCTAATGTTGAACGTTAAAAAAAATGCGTAAATTTTTCTCAGTCTAAAAATCACAATTCTTATTGTACTGTAAAATTAAATAACGACTCTAGATTTTATAGATTCTACTGATTTTTGGAGTTACTATCACTGCATAGTATAAAACTTCCCGTCTGTTTGTCCTTATGTATGCTTAGATCTTTAAAACTACGCAACGGATTTTAATGTTTTTTTTTTATTAGATACAATGATTCAAGAGGAAGGTTTATATGTATAATACAAGCATAACATAGTAGAAAAACACTGATAATTGTTAAAATGTTTTAAATTTAAATTTTAATATTCTAATGTCGACTTTAAAAATATTACAGATTTTGGCAGTGGTAGCCTTATTTTTTGTTCCTGAATCACCACACTGGCTAGTGTCAAAGAAACGATATCAAGAAGCCCAAAAGGTATAAATACTCAATAACTCATCTGTTATTGTAAGTAGACGATGGCTGCACCTGGGGAATATTTAGAAAAAAATAATATGATGATTATATGAACAGGGGGGAAAAGGATTGTTAATAGCATTGCTAGCAATACACCCTATCAGGTCGACCTCCACGCGGTTCCTCCTGAAAATCATCGTGGTTAATTCTAGTGGAATCCGTCACGACGGGCTAACTGACTTGCATCCATTGTTACCTATCAACCCTCACTGATACCCCGCCAACGTATACTGGTAGCACAGGCGGGGATACCATTTCATTATCACCTATTAAAAAAAAATATACATATGTATATATGAACAATAGTTACTAGAAATTTTTTTATTAATTTTGTTTATTTGTCTATTTATTTATTTATTTGTTCTGGTATCAATCAAAAACTACTGTACCAAATTGTTGTCATAGGTGTGTTTCTAAAGGTAACTTAATCGTAAAATCTGGTGTGTTTTATCTGGATGCGCCGTCTATAAGTATCCACAAAAATGCTGGTAAAAGTTAGTTATAATACAGAATGATGTAAGAACATATATTAAACTAAATATATGAATTGGGATGCACATTATTGCAATGACTCTAGTGTGGCAGGTGTTTACAGATGATGGTAGTTACATACCATCAGGTGAGCTGCGTGCTCGGTTGCATTTGTGTTATAATACAATTAATTAATGGATTAAATATTGAATATAAGTTTTTTTTTATACAACTTAGAATAGTAAACAAGCTGAAAGCCCACCTGATGGAAAGTGGTAACGGTCAGCTATAGACATGAACAGTACCATGAATATAATAAAATATACTGTTTCGCCCATGATACCTCCCATGCGTTGCCATTCCTGAGGACTCAGATGTTAGTTTTCTGTACACTGTAAATTTACAAGTTAATTTAACTACCACTATTTTTTTTCCAAAAAAATGGCTATATGTAAATTTTATAACATATGGATATTTTTCAGAGTCTACAATGGTTGCGCGGGTGGACCGATGCCAATGCAGTTGAAGATGAATTAAAAGACATCCAGAATTTATATAAAAGAAAAAAAGGTTTTGTTTCTCTGTGTCTAAGCAAATTAATGAGTATTTGATTAAATAGACTAATTATTTATACATTTTAAAAGGGTCGAATTATATTTTAAAAGTAATTATTCTTTCAGACACTACTTCAAACAATTATAAAGGTTTAATTCTTTATAGAAATTATTTTCTATCTTCTTATTCTTATCTTTCACGGGCATAGATACCTGCTTATAATACCCAATAAACAGTCAAGGATACTTCTGACAACAATTTGTCTTTATTTTGTTTTAGTTGAATTACAAGATGAGGAAGAGACGTTCTCGGAAAAAATATCGCATTATTTGGAGCGCAGCTTCTACGTTCCATTTGCGCTGATTTCTTTTAGTTTCTTTGTTGGTCATTTCAGTGGCATGACTACGCTTCAGGTAAAAATTAGTTTTTGTCACTATTGTATACAAAACTACACGTTAAAACAGAACTACAAGCTATAACTGTAAAAACAATTAAACATCCATCGTCTTATTCATATTCTGTGAACGTGGTAAAGGATTTTTTACCTGAAAGTTATAACTTGAACCCTTTATAGGATTATTTTGTAACTCTTCTCGCTGAATAAATGTCCCGATATTCATAACGGTTATATTTATTTCAAGCAATTTTTCAAGGTATTAAAGATTATTATTAAATCGATCTTATATTCTTCTAAACACATAAGTATAAAGTTGAATTCAGTGAAATACATACTTATATTTCGTAGTAGCTATTAAAAGTAGCGATTCTGCCTAGTTTCACATAGGTAGATAGAATTTTCAAAAAATAATATATAACCTAACGTAGGCTATAAATTATTTTACTCACTAATAATACAGCTTCTTTTAGGTAAAAAAAATTTTAAAATCGCCTAAGTAGGTTTTGAGTTTATCCATTACAAACAAACAATCAAATCTTAACTTTTTATAATATTAGCTAAGCACATCTTTTAGTTGGGCATTGAGAGATTTAAAAACAAACAGACAAAATAATTAAAACTAGGTACTTAGAAAAAAAAAATTCTTCATCATTAGGTAAGTTTTTTACATATTCACTTATAATATGTAGCAAAAATAATTATTTTTATTAAATGTTTGTGTATAAATATAAATGTTTGTCTCTTATTTAAACTAATAGTATAAAGAGGAAGAATGTTTATTTTTGTGTGTTTCTTTGTAATAGATAAACTAAAAAACTACGTGACCGATTTTAAATAGGTATCTTTCGCCTACTGAAAGCTATATTAACAGCAAAGCTACATTAGCAATATTTAGTTCGTATTTTACATTTAAAGTATTATGCGAAGCCGTGGTCTGATACTTATAATTGTGTAACCATTCTATAACCATTGCGAAGAGAAAGCTTTATACTTTACAACAATACAGTTTTTGTTACGAATTTTAGAATTGTAAAGTTAAAAAATAACCATAGCTTTTGATACTTCAATTGCAAAGAACCACTCGTACTGTTAAGTAAAATTTATCAGGGAAAATTAAATTAGCGGAATGCGTCAGTTAGAGGTGAGGACTTTTCGTTTACCATTTACACACCAAAATTTATTACGAAACTTAAATGGACCCATATCAAACTAACTATTTTCTTCGGAACCTGCGAAGACGTTCGCGGTATCCTTATTTCAGAGGCTTCAGGCACCAATTGATAAATATTATGCAACGCTCATACTTGGCATTCTGCAAATATTAGGTACAGCTGTATGTGTATTACTGGTCCACTATACAGGGAAGAGGCCATTGACATTCTTCTCCACCGGCGGAGCTGCTGTATGTTGTTACTTTGTGGCTGCTTACGATGGCTATTTGAAACTCGTAAGTTTTATATTTCTATAAATATCTCTTACCTCCTTGCACAACACTTAACACAAAATAATTCTGTTATGTCTCTGTTTGGTTTGAAAAAATAAGGATATTAGTATATTTATAACTGGTACTGTAATTTAAATCTTCTCCTTGACAATACCTAATAAAATTGAGTTGTTTACATACATCTAAACAACTCAATTTTATTAGGTATTGAAAGTAAATGTACAAAAGCATATAAATAAATAAAATTTTAATGAATAATCTTCATCTCACACAAATCACATATAAGCATACATTTATGATATATTTTATACCGAGAGGTCCAATAATTATTCATTATATTCATTGAAAAAACATTACTAGTACCTAAGTATTATTCAATAATCGCCTAAATGAATAACCACGTAAATTATTTTAAGTGCTAAGTTAGGATATAACCAACCTATGTATCAAATTTCATTCAAATTCGTTTGGTAGTTTTTGTGTGAAAGAGTAGAAAACATCCATGCATCCAGGATTTAAGTAGGTGATATCAGATTAGAAGGAGGAGTAATAATCGAATTAGTAGAAGTTAAGTCCAGCAGACATTCAAGAAGTGTAGTGATGCATGTCTTTTGCATAATAGCTTTTAGATCGTTGTTAATTACATCTATAGCAATAGATGTTTTATATATTACAAATGATATAAAGACAGGAGAGCAGACGGCGAAAGGACTCCACCTTGAGGAATACGTTTGCATTAATTTTGCACTAGTCAGGATACAATTATCATCATGAACCAATTGGCACCAACCTGAAAAATATGATCACGATAATGCAAAAGCCAATAGTGATATATTAAATTTGGAAAAAACATAAAAAAATATGTTAAAAACTAAAGTATTAAAAACACTGGTAAAATCAAGTAGCACTAATGAAGTATTAATTTAATTAATATATAATGACAGTATATTTTCGATTATTTTAACGAATTGCTACGACGACCATAAAAACCAGACTGAAACTGATTCAAGATATCATTACGATAAGGATGATTAATAAGACATCGATGAACAAAATGTTCCAATACCTTTGATAGTGCAAGAAAGATTAAAATAGGTCAATATTCCGATAGTTTAGACGGTTTGGATTTTTTAGGGAAAGGAATAACATAATACAGGTTTCCAGAATGTAAGAAAAGTGCCAGTAAAGTACAGTAAACCGATGTTATCATTATTTGCTGTTGTTTGCCTACTTTCAATATCCTCAGTTTATTCGGCAAAGGGTTTTCAATCCCTTGGACTGTTCAAACGTTGAGCATATTTTATGTAATGAATAATGTGAAGGCATGTGAGAGAAATTTTTGAGAGATGATAATTTTTTATAATACTAATATCACCTATTAGAATAATTGCCGTCTGATTCCAGCATCGAATAGCCGACCCCTTACTTTCCTGTGGGTGCCTTAAGAGGTGACTAAGGGAGGGCAATTACCAATCCGTCTGCCAAGCGAGGCAACTACTGGCAAACTCGTCCAAGAGAGAGGCTTTATGTTCGGAGGACATTACTGTAAATAAGTAGTAGAATTAAACGGACAAATAAGTTCGTTTTGTCCTACTGCCTGTAGTATGATAGAACTAAATCGTAGACCTATAATGGATATAATCAATAATTTAGGAACATTAATAAACAATTATAATAATGAAACGGTCCAACAAAAAAATATTTTTTACAAAAAGTACAAGTAAAAACTCAACAAAACAGTATCATTGTTACACAATCTAGACAATGACTCAAAATTTTCCATGTGTTCCTACTTACCTAATGTATATTATTACATTTATCCAGAAAGAGAGAATTAAAAGGAACACAATATAATAATAAATAAATCGCAATTAAGTTAGTAATGAAAGTATAAAGCATAAATAACGTGTTTACAATTAAATATAAGTTAAAAGTCTTTACCATTATTACTTATTAAACTTAAAATTTCAGCTAACGGAAATAATCAATATCTTAAATAAATAAATAAACATCATCAAATACAATTTATTTTTATATTTCGATTGTTATCAAACACAATGAATAATATTGTAAACTACTAAATAATGTTGGTACTATTTATTTATTCTGTTACAGGACGGAATGTCAGAAATTACAAATATGAATGTCAACGTTACTGCAGGAAATGTTACTGATAATATGGTAATTAATTATTTTTATTGGCTGTTTGGTTTGTATCCATAATGTACACACAATAATTACGAGTAGATAATAATACAAGCTTGTAGCGTACAATTGCATATTAACCCTACTTGAACCAGTAGGTCCAATTTGAAATTTCTAGTATCCATTTTAGATATGATGTAATATTTAATTATATAATATTACATATAAAGATAAAACATACACCAGTTTCTTAGTTAGAGCTTCAGGAACACAACTGTGAAAACCGCATCCAATTTGGAGCAGTAGTTTTTTCGTGATGCCAAAACAAACCCACAGATAGATAGATCGACAGAAATATTTTTTTAATAATTAAGTTCTTCTGCCCTTGTTAACCAGTTACATATTGTTATTTTTTTAAATTATCTTCAATATACAGACATGATCTAGTTGCAATTATTCTTTTCAACCGACTTCAAAAACACGAGATTTGCAATTCGGTTATATATATGATAACATCATCTGTTCTAATCTGTTTGAATTTTTTTCTAAAAAAGTATACTTACAGATTGATCGCTAAGAAATTTTTACAAATGCAATTTAGTAGTTTAATTTTTAGGTCGAAAATACTGGTTTTATCACAATTGTAGTAGATTTTTTTGAAAAACATAATAATTATTTCTAATTGATATTGTTGATACGGAACTCTAAAAACAATTACCAAGATAAGAGTTAGTTATTATATTTGACTCATCATATTCTAAAGCAATTAACTCTTCGAAATATAATTGAAAGTATTGCTATTACAGTTATTGTTGTTTTTTATTACAGAATAATTCTTATTCGTGGATACCGACGACGCTTTTTATGTTGTTAGCTTTAATAACACATACAGGAATCCGACTCTTACCATGGATATTAATTGGTGAGGTAAGTGTGTAATACACCTACACGTGAGTTCTCCACGTCCTTATTTCCCTATTAAGCTAGTTTGAGGGAAGAGCATTATTATTAGTGTGATGTAGCAGTCCTATTGCTAGCAACATACCATATCAAGTCAACCACCAAGCCTCTATTAGAATCATCGTAATTTTTTTAAATGGAATGGTAATCCCCTCTTATGCTGTCGGTATATGCTAGCGGAATACCAGTTAGTGATGACAGGAAGGAATGAAATCTTGTCAGTTGGCACATCCTGATAAATTCAGCAGGAAATTATCAACAATAGTTTTCACGTGGAGGTCGATCTGTTAGGATATATTGTTATTGTCTGTTTGACCCCATTACTTCCTTTTTCTTTCTACCTAACTATAACAATTATTTCTAGCGCGTTCATCAAGATGACCTGACTTCATTTTCACCTATGATCCATCATTGGTAGTCTGCCAGCGTATGCGAATACCACAAATGGGATTACCATTCCATTTCCATGTAAAAAAAGTCAATATGTTTAATTTCATCTAAATAATTATCTGAACTAAGTTATTTGAACATAAAATCATTTTATAAGTAAAATAAAATTTAAAATGTCTTGATAATTACAAATGTAAGTGTTCAAGATCTGAGAAAAGACCACGTTAAATTTATTTTAATTTTTTTTTTTAATTAATAACAATACTTAATCATTCCTTGTCAGACAGATTCTAAGGTATGACTAAGGTATTTCATTTATGGAAGTCGAATAGTACACTAGTAGACCATTGTAGTCCACACTACTCGACTTACAACGCTCCATAGAAATGTAATTTTTTTAATAAGCATTATTTGTTATTGGAAACACCAACGGGTATATTTAATCATTATGTATAAAATTAGCATAATCTGATATTATCTGTAGATTTTCAGTGCAAAAACACGGTCTGGCGGTGCCGGTTTATCTGGCGCTGTGGGTTATATATTCGGATTTCTTACGAACAAATTGTACATTGATATGGTAGAAAGACTCGATTTATGGGGAACTTATGGACTTTATGGAATCGTGTGGTAAGTAAATATAGGCTTTAATCTGACAGTTACTAGTACCTCATTACATATTTCCTTATGACATTAAAACCAAACGACTTAAAAATTGCAATAAAAACAACTGACCAAGACCATACGAGGATTCCATGACTGTTATATATTTATTTATATATATACTGTTATATTATATATTTTAAAATAAAATATGTTATATATTACAACATACCATATTCTTGAGTATAGATAATTTGTTTGCTTAATTAACGTGAATGGATAACGTAGAAAATTACTAATTAGTGCAATTATATCTTTTTCAGTACCTTAGGCTGTATAATTTTTTATTTCATTCTACCTGAAACTGAAGGAAAAAATTTAAGTGATATAGAAAATCACTTTGCAGGAGTAAAGCGACTATCTAACAAAGTTTACAGATCAAAGGTTTGTTGATTTATATATAATAATAATAATAAAATTATTACTATATTCTGTCTATGACAATTAAAAATAATTATCTGGATAGAAGTGACACTCGTGTACTTTTCTTTGCACTCCACCGATGTCGACAAAATGTACTTACCCTACTTTCTCTTGGGTTGTCAAAAATTGTACTCATTTAATAAATTACTTTGTCATATATTAACGATTAAAAGCATTTTTTTATAATACTGAAAAAGCAATAAATTCATAAGTGGTGGACTTGTACAGATAAAAATAATATAGGGCGATTCCACATTAATGGAAGTGATGACGATATACAGTCTAACAACTTCCATTTGATATATATTATATAATAGTAATATGCCGTACTATTTAATAATAATATTTTTTACTCGTAAAATTTTTTACCCCCTGGAAAAAAGTTTTACGTCCATCATCTATTTCTTATTTTTCAACTAGTTACCATCAATTTAAGTTGTAAACGATATCCATAACTAAAAATTCTTAAGCGGCGAACTTGTAAAGACAAGTGTACCTAATGCACGGGTCTCTCCTTCACTAGTAGTAGTGACGACATCGCATACAATCTAACACTTCATGCACAACATAAACAAATTTCAGAAATATACAGCAGGTATATTCAATACATTACATATATCAAATAGACAAAGGTCCCAAAGGTTGGCTGGTAAAGAATGCTACTAGCACTAAGTCCGCCTTTTGTACCATATTTTCTATTTTTTTAAACAACTTAGAATGGCATACAAGCTGACGGTCCACCTGATGGAAAGTGATAACCGTCGCCTATAGACATGAGCAGTACCATGGACATAACAGAGTATACTGTTTCGCCCATGATACCCCCCATGCGTTGCCATTCCTGAGGACTCAGGTGTTATTCCTCTGTCCCCAGTAAATTCACGCCATATCCCACCCTTCAAACCGAAACACAGCCATGCAAACAAAACTGCTTCACGGTTAAAACACGAATGGGACAGAGGTACCCAAGCAATCGACTTTTGTACAAAGTCTGGTAAATAAGGTAGGTTCTTTTAGCTAATAAAGTTATTTAAATAATTAAACTATTAACATTGTATTAAAATAATTAGACATTACTATCAATCGAATAAGTAGGTATATTATCTATCTTATTGTAAAATTGGTCAAATAATTGGTACCTAACTAAAATTGTATTACATCCAATCGGATACATTTTTTATGGTTGAATTAAAGCGCCATCTAGTGGCTTAAGATTGACACGCTTTGAGGTGCTAGCGCACAACCGTATTGATTAACACATTTATGGTAAATAAAATTCCATAAGAAATACTAGATGGCGCTGGTATCATGACTTGTAGTTTTTGTTGAATATTTTTAATTAAATATAATTTGAAGTAAAACTTCTAAATTGGCGAGTGAAATATATAAACCTATTCGTCAATTTAAAAATTTTGCTTTAAATTACTTTTATGCCACACACACATAATCTGTATCTACCTACACTAACATTACATAAAGTTTGTGAGTTTGGTACTGATCTGATTTAAAGAAAAATCACTGTTATTAAGGTATATTGTTCCTGAGTGCTACAGACTACTTTTTATTTTAGTAAATATATATTTTCAATAATGAACCACAATAAATGTAATTGAAGTCGCCAAAAATTTTACAATATGGCGTGCGCTGCTTGAAAGTTGGAAATAATGGTATAAAATCTGTAGGAAAAATAATAATCACTTTTAGCTTTACAAAAGAGTACGTGACATTGACATATATATCTAAGTATAAACAAATTTATAAGCCGTTCAGTTTATAATCTTAGAGAATATTAGCTCAGTAGTACACACGCCAAAATACCGGCCTTACTAAAATGCGTTGAACAGTTTAAAAATTATACAAACTAGTATTGCACCCGTGCGAAGCCAGGGCATGTCGCTAGTAAGTATTGAGTACCAACTTAGGTATTTGTATAAGTATTTGTACGCCGGGAATTTTATTACAACTATCTGAGTTAAATATGGTTAGAAGGCAACCTATATAAATTTGACTAAATAAAAACATTTTTATAAAACAATAGAACAAAGTACAAGTATTTTAAATTATTATTATTATTACATAAGCCGTTAATTGTCCATTGCTGAACATAGGCCTTCCCATAAGAAGGGTTTTGTCAATAGTTGTCTCGCTTGGCGAGCAGGTTGGCAATCGTAGTTTGGTTCTGGTGATGTTTTAAGAAGGACTTTGCTGTCCTCCCTCGACCACTTAGTTTCCTTAATCGACTCTTACAACATCCACGGAAAAGGAAGGGGTGGCCCATTCTATGCTGGGACTAAACGGCGAAATTTTAAATATATAAATGCAATTTCTATTCGTATATCAAATGTTTACTCGGCATTGCGTATAACGACATTCAAACAAGATCGAGTTGTGAATCATTGTTTTTTGACATGTTCATTGTATATTAACATAATCATATTTATTTATACAAGCATTTACCTATTAAGTCCCCGGCCGACACATCGAGCCTTTTCAGGAAGAACATCGTAACCGCCATTTTGCATATTTTACAGGAGAGGGTTTTTTTTAAATATTTCTCAAAATATTTATAGCATCAATTTCAAATTTCTACTAAGTGTTATGTGGGCACCTCCCTATTACTTCAAATGTTAAGATTTGTATCAGTACTCTAAAATCACATACATTTGTCGCTTACGTTAAAACTGATGACTGTTATTAGGTAGAGCTGATATGAGTATGTCGATTACGATAATTCCTAAATATCATGAAATAGTAGAAATAATTTTTTGTGAAGTTTTTTTTAACTGTATTTACGAGATACAGTGATAGACAGAGACGGACAAAGTGTCAGAAGTACAAAAAAGTAAAAAAAAATAACCATTAATCACTTTTAAGTGAATTGGCTTTATTAACAAAATGAAATACCAAAAAAGACATAACTCAGTCGTCGTTTTCATTAGTCTCGTTCTCTTGTGTTTTTATTGTAGGGCAAATCCAGATATTCTTTTGCATATACTTCTGGTATGACACCTTTTTAGCACATTTTCTTTAAATCTTCATATTTTGCCTTCGAAATGGGATTTTTTTCAGTGATAGCAGTCTTCGGTTCACGAATGGCTTGTTGATTGAACATCAACAGCTTATTCGGGTCCATTATAGTCGTATTTAAGATAGAATTTGTCGCCTTCAATCGTTCAATCAAATCTAGCGTTACGCAGCTTGCTTGTTTGTATTTTAATTTTGTTTGGTAAGAAGGCTGTTGTATAGGAATTTCAGTCTTTAATTTCACTATTTTTTAAAAGAATTGTCTCATATTTTTTGGATTAGTCCGAGCATTTCCAATCAAAGTTTGCCATTCAGATGGTGCCTTAATGGTTCTTTTCTGTACAAATTCTTCTATTGTCGCATGCACAGAATCTATTGGCATCATACATCTGACATGTCGTATGTCCAGGAATAAGAAAGTTTATAGTCAGCTTTTCAACAAAACTCGCATGATATTGTATGAAATAATACAGCATTAAAATCATGGTTTTATTTTTATTTTGTCCTGCACAACTATCACAGTATAATGCAATTTCATTTTGAGTCCTTCTCTCGTCAACCATTTTAAGGTATTTAAAGATAATAGTACAGATTTAATTTCTTCTTTTCGCTTTCGTTTCATTCCAAAGATAACAAAATGCAGATCTGGTACCGCTTTCATAAATGCTTTCATTATAATAGCTTTCGAGTATAGTAGAAATTTACACTTTGACTGTGAGGTGTTGTTAAGACCTTTTCGAGATCATAGCTCGCACATAAAAAGTTTCTGTAGTCTTTGCTTATTTTTTGATCCTCTAGAAATAGCTTTAATGATCTTTCTTTGTTCTTAATGTGATTCTTGTAAGCAACTGATTCTATCGTTTTTTTCTTTCTTCATCATTCAAATTTTTTATTCTCTCACATTGACCACATTTATCTTTCTTTGGTAAGTGAAATCCTAAGTTAAATTCAGTTTTAAATATTTTTCTAAACTTTTGATAACTTACTGCACCTAAATCTTTCGTTTCATCATCTTTCAAGTAAAAGTTTTTATATAAATAAGTCACATCCCTAAATTCAGTTGGTAAGTACAATTTATTACTATTGTTTCTACAATAGTGTGATTACCCGACAGGCAACTCTTTTATAAATTTATTTACGTTTTGAGTTTGAGATTGATTGTATTTATTTGAAGGCGTGCTTTTGCCGCGTTGGTCAGGTTTTAACTTAAACTTGCAATTTTATGCAATTTAGTGTAACGCAGTGTCATTTGCGAAATATCAAAAGTTTTCAAAACTGCTGGCAACTTTTCTAATATAGTTATCAAAGTTTATGGTATTCATATTTAATTTATTTGAGTATAATAATGTTACAGTTTACGAACAACCCAACGCAAAACGCATTTTGTTTCTACCGCAAGGGACAAGTTTAACTTACGTTGCATAAATTTATTATCGTAAGTGCCAAGTAGGAAGCTTACAATAAACTTAAGAACCTAGTACTATATTGTAAGCGACAGGTATTATACTTACGATCTGTCAGTCGGTGGAGGTTACGTTAAAAAACCGAATGGCTTGTAACTTACGATAAAAACAAAGAATATTAATAAAGTTAATTACATTTCTAATTTGAACTCTAAAATAAGCTATAAGGTGTAAAATCAGTAGATCTGGCGGTTCATATTAAAAAAAGTTTTTGGAATTTTTGGCGCTTACGATCTTCTTCCTGAAAAGGCTCGACATGGTCCGAGAGATCGTGAGCTCAAAAAGAATCTAACGCTTATTGCATAATTTTGTAAAAAAATCGAAGCAATTTCGTTTTTTGTCTCTGGTGCGTAAATGTATATTGAAATGGGATTATTGCACTTATTTGTCTTTTCATTATTTTGTAAGATAGGGGATGCATTTACCACTGTTATTATATTGTATACAGACGTAAATGACCGTACCGCGCACTGGCATTCAAAAGTTAACTTTATTACATGGTTTGAAAGCGGCCTTTTAAAGTTATGTCTAATATTGCTTTTCTTTAAGTAATATAAAATATTTAATTTTACAGAAAATACCGCATCATGAAAATTCTAAAATGAGAGAATTGAAAGGGTCCGCCAATCCGTCATTTGAACATGAAAGTTCACAACTGTAAACATACTAATTCATAAAATAAAAATATACATATACAAAATATGGTGCTTTTTTTTAACTAATCAATTTCTGTCCATATCCTTAAATGTTAATGTTATGTGTATTCGAGCACAATAGAATTTGTGTAAACTATAAAGAACAATGACAATGAAAATAAAGCAGGAAAGTGTGTCTAATATAAATTAAGTATTTATATAATTTTTTTTGAAATTTCAGAAATAATGATCACATTTACGTTAAACCAAATTTGCGGTTTAAAAATCTGCGGATTTATTTATTTTTTATTAGCATGTACAAGGAGAAATTAATCTTATAAAGCATTTTCACTGGGGAGAGAAGAATTGTTAGTAATGGTTAATCCTCATTTTTAGAAATATACTCTATCAGGTCAACGTACACAAGATGTGTAAGTCCCCCTCAAAACTATCGTGTTTAATCCTTGTTGTATCCGTCATAATAGACTAATTGACAGAGTTTTATCCTCACCTATCATACTCACTTGTGCCCAGCCAGTGTATACCGATAGCGCAGGCGGGATTACCATTTCATTCTCACTCATTTAAAAGAAAACATTTTGATGGGTAAGCAGGGATTGTTAGTAACGAGATTTGGAAGTCACTGCTAGCAATTTATTCTGTTAGGTCAACCGACACACGGCCACCCTGAACACCATCATTGTTAATTCTTGATTATCATGGGTTTATCCTCACCTATTATCCTTTATTTGCATCGTATATCAGTAATACAGATAGAGTTACTATTCTACAAATGTATTATAAAATAATCATTGTCGACTCTTATTTTTTTTAAGTATATGGATTCGCACACATTATACAATAGTTTAATCCTCGTGGAGGAGTTTTTCTTAAAAATTTCAGTAGAAAGAAAGAATATTTATTTTATATAAATATAAGATAGCGTGATCATAGGGTTTACAAAAGTTAAAACTAAAATTAATACCTAAAAGTAAACTACTAAATTAACTAAATAGGTAGAAACAAATCAATAAATGCACATTACAGTAGTCTTGGTAAGAAAGTGTATGTGTGCGTGCGTTGCAATATTTATCAAAATGAAGTCCGTGTTCAGCTTGTTGCTGTAGTGTCAGAGACACTACAAATGTGATTTTCAGTACAAGCTTCGACAGCCCGCGGTGTTTTAATAAATAAGAATAAATTTAAATAAGTGAATTTAACTTATATGTTGTGCTTAAAGTGTATTGTGTGTAAACATACAAAAATAAAATATGTAAATATAATAATTTATTGGTAGATTGTGGCTTTGTCAGTGAGAAATGTTTTATCTGTATATAAAAAATAATCTTAATAACAAATGGAAAATCGTAAAACATAAAACATGTACAAAATTAAGGTTGTTTGTATAATAGTACTACAGATGCCAAAGATTTTTAAATATAGTGTATCATACGAATTTATCTGTGCAATGGCTGGCATATATTATGGTAATCGCCGTCATCGTCATTCCCATAATTAACCGAGGACCACAAAAACTAGGTAAGTACCAAATTGTTTGTGAATTATACATATATGCTGATACTGCAAATATAAACTTATTATTATATATATATATATAGTGTGATGTTTTAAGCGGGACGCGGTTGCCTATCCCTCTACCATTAAGTTCCTTCTCTTACGACACCCACAGGAAAAGATTTTTTTTTATGAGTGGAAATGGAATGGTAAACCCGCCTGCGCTAACGAGATACGCTGGTGGAGCACCAGTGAAAGGTGATCAATGAGAATGAAAACAGGCCAGTTAGTCCATCATGATGAATTCATTAGAAATTAACCATGATTGTTTCCAGGGAGAACCGCGAGGAGGTCGACCTGGCTGGCTATATAGCTAGCAATGGGATTCTTAGTCTCCATTAATAACAATCCCTTTCCGCCCAGAAACGAAGAGGAGGCCTATTCTATGCCGAGACCATACGGCCACTTTTAATATAACACTACTTAATATTCTCAAAGGCAAAACTCCCCTTATGAGGAAAGCTTATGTACAGCCTTGGACAGCTTATTTTTTAAAAAGTGATAATGGAATGATAACCCCGCCCGCGCTATCGGTATACACTGCCAGGGCATCAGTGAGAGATGATAGGTGAGGATGAAGCAGGTCAGTTAGCCCATCGTGACGAATTCAACAAGAATTGTTCACGTTGGTCTCCAGGGAGAACCACGTGGAAGTCGACATAATAAGGTATATTGCTAGCAATGGGGCTGTCAAACTCCATTGCTAACAATACCTTTTCCCCTAGTAGCGGACATTAAAAGGCTAAAATGATGATCATGATATTAAAAATGAAGGAAAAACAAGAAGATGTATAAAATTTAATACCAACCGAACTAGGTGTTTGAGTAGTATATAGTACAAATATATATAGGACATTTTGCATTTATTCACCATAGTTCTATTTAATTGTAGCCTTAATGTTATAGTTTAGGGAGGTATTAAAAAACTATTTAATTATTTTATCCCTATTACCTAAAAACCCCTAGCAGTACCCGATAGGACACTTAGTCTCTAGTAAGGAAGATCTCTAACAGTAACAAGCAAATTCGGAGCATTTTCATACATACACATACCTGTCACCATACATACATATATATCTGTCATGACTGACTCCTACCAAGTTTTATTTTAATGGGTAAAATTGAAATGATGACCCCGCGTATATCGTTAGCGCAAGCGATACCAGTGAGAGATGATAGGCGAGGATGAAAACAGGGGGTCTACCATGAAATGAAATTCCGAATTTTCGAACTCCTTTTCGTGTTTTTGTTCATAATGAAATCAACTTAGTAAATGGAGCTTAACATAACATAAATGTTACCAAAAAAATCCAAAGGAGCGATATTTTATAAAGTATTTTTAATATTTTTAAACGGTATATGTAATATTAACATCAAATCTGTGTTTCGTTCGGACCTAAATTTCGGAAAACATTTCATGGTAGATCCTTAGGTCAGTTAGGCCATCGTGACGAATTTCGCAAAAATTTAACATGATAATTTCCAAGGGGAACCGTGTGGAGGTCGACCTGATAAGGTGTATTGCTAGCGAGGGGGCAGTTAGCCGCCATTACTAACGATCCTTTTCCCCACTCTGACCAGGTATTTTTTATGGATGATAACGGAATGATAACCCCGCCTGCGCTAATGGTATACGCTGGCGGGGCACCAGTGATGGATGATAGGTGAAAATAAATAGTAGGTCGGTCGGTTCCATCATCGCCCATTGAAAAAAAAATAGTCCACTGCTGAACATAAGCCTCCCCCTTGGGGGGTTTTGTCAGTAGGCGCCACGCTTGGCAGGCAGATTGGCAACCGCAATTAAACTTTAGAAATGTTTTAAGAGGGACACTACTATCTATTCTTCTATTCTATGCCGGGACCACATGGACGTATATATATATATATATATATATATACATATATACATACATACATATATATATATATATATATATATATATATATATATATATATATATATATAAGTACAGTGCAGATTTGTGAAATTTATCTGTTAAAAACAACGTTACGTAAGAGGATTCAATGTAATTCAACGTTAAGAAATATAAAACCACATGAATGTGCAGCGTGGATATAAAACTACTAATGCCTACATTGGATACTGGAAAACATCGTTGCTAAGTGAGAAGAGGCAAAATGTCTTCACATATTGTTGTCTACATTTATATAATTATAATAGGTACTAGCGATCCGAACCGGCTTCCCACGAGTAGACAGAATTTTCGAAAATCAATACATATAATAAAAAAGAGTTTTAGCCAATTCAACTGATCGGTTATATTTATAATTGCTTCCGTATCTATATTGTTGATTTTATATTAATATCCGCCCACTATATACTTTTTATTATAACACATTTGTGATTTGTAAATCTTTGTCGGATGCCCACGATACAGGTTCACCTAGTGTTGGGCCCATTGTATCTTGTTTTTGTAACTTTGTGTTTTTTACCAAATAAAGTAAATAAATAAATAGCATTTTTTATGTATTTTTAGATTAATATAAATTTTTTATTTATGAACCAATTGAAATATGACAAACACTAAATGTTAGGGGAGCACGGGGGAATCAGAGCCACAGGGTAATGGGAGTTACTCTAGTTTACATGCTTCTTGACAATTTAGACCCTGTTGTGTTTTAACGTATTACAAAAGGACGCGGGAGGGGTGCATATGCCTCGTTGTGTCACCGTTTAGTTGACTTTTAGTACACAAATAAATAGCACGTCAGTTTTTTAAGCTATTCATCTAATTTTTGACAACATTCAAGGACAAATTGTGAGTTTTTAATTTATTTTATTATTAGTATTGCTTCTTTTATCTTATAGATTTATCATTAGAGTATCGTATAAAAAGGTTAATTTATGTAAATAAGCAATTGTATTTTGACAATTATATGAAAACCTAAAAATGAGTATTTGGGGAAATGGGAGTCGAATGGCTCTCATTACCCACTTCATTTCTTGTAGTTTTTTTTCAGATGCCTTGAAAACAAGATAGGATTACGGATAAATATCAGTGGAATCTGGTTACTACACCGTGCTATCAAGAGAGTCAATGAAGATAGAATATCTCTGCATAAGGCTGCCCAAGGGTTTAATATTCCATATAGTACTTTTCAAAAAAGGTATCGCAGAGCAGTACAAACCAATCCTCGTCTCGGAAGGAAACCAATATTTTCTACAACTCATAAACAAATTTTGGCTGATCATCTCATTCACATGTCGAATCTTTTTTACGGCTTAGACTCCATGAAATTTAGAAAATTAGCATACGAGTGTGCTGAACAGTTGAAGATATCTCATAATTTTAATAAGGAACTTAAATGTGCGGGACCAGACTGGCTTAAAGGATTTTTGAAAAGAAATACTAATATCAGTGTTCGCAAACCTGAGTCAACTAGTATTAACAGAATTGAGGGATTTAACAGAGTAGAAGTAGAATTATTTTCCAAAAATCTTGAGGAACTAATGATAAAAAATAATGAT